ATGAATAAATGAAAAACTTGCATTGAAATATAAAGTAGTTTTAAAGGAAAAACCTGAAGATGATGCTACGCATCGAAACATATAGTAAATAAAGGCGCAGTATTGTAACATCGTAGTAACGATGAATAGCGCAAATTTTAACATCTGTAAATAAAGTTTGTGTATAGACCTGAATTATATTATATATTTTAATTCAATTAAAGTGTTTTTCCAAGACCAGAAAATTTATCACGTCCAGGTGGAGTTTTCACCAAGGAATGTTGATGCTCAGATGCCAGAAGAACAATCACAATAGGAGATTAAAGGGCGATGACGAAGTAGTTTTGCGAAGAAATGAAGAGCAAAGCAAACAATGAGAAATAAAACGAACAAGAATATCTGTTTGACATTTAAAGACACTCGCCACAAAATGAGGAACAGAACTTCAAAATATATTGGATACAGTCGCAGACTAAATAAAATTGGTCATTATCTATCTGTTTCTTTCAACAAGCATCTTTAATTCAGTTACTACTATCGACATTCTTTCGTTCTGTTTTCCCCTTCTGCATTCTTTCCTTCTTTATTAAACATTATCTAATTTATTTTTGTTTTCTCTTAAAGTATTTGTAAATAATTGAGAGCGTAATAGCAAATAGCCTACTCCTTGTTACATATTTTCCCACCCGAAGAAGAAATTCCCAGACATACGCATAAGGCTTACCAACATCACCACCGAAGATTCTCATTCTTCCATACACTGAGGCAGTTCAGTCTTTTGAATGTCTTACGGTAACACGCATTAACACACCCTTTCTCTGATAACAGAACACAGACACAGAAGTCAGTCGTTGAACAAAATTCTGTTGAAAACTTCACAATATTTCCCTTGCATATATTTCAAAATTACGATCAAGAATCTTTCCTGACGTTAGAAATCTCAACTTTCGTGACTTTTTCCCACTCATATATTTTATTAAGTTTGTTTCTTTCATTCGACTTACATGTCCAGCACATCATGAAGTATTTGACATTACTGCTACAAAAATGGCGGTCAAAGAATATCTAGAAGAATAAATCTTTAACTAATTACTAAAATGTAATAATTAATAGAGTAATGTGATTGACTGGATCTGGGCTGGGCGATCCACGTTCAATTCTCAGTAGAGGCAGGACAGCACGTCTACACCGGTTCTAGTCCGAACCAGTCTCATATTAGATACATACCCGGGATCTTTCCTCTAGAGGGGCATGACTCTGACGCTTAAGTAAAGCTACCGAGCTCTAGAACACGTAGAGGTTTACCTTCACTCCTCTTATACGCCTTCAAGGTAATATGCTTAGTCATAAGGCCAAATTTCAGATTTCCGGAATTTACTTTTTTCAACTTGTTAAAATTTCACTGTGTATAGAACATTTTTACTTCAGACTCCATTAAATTTTACTGAATAATAAATTTTCGCTTACGTTTGCATGGATTCCCAATTTTATTCACACGATTATACACAAACACTGCGTGATGAAGGACAAGGTCAAACTATTTATCACGGTTAGTAGGGAGAACGGAGGGAGGTACAATGAGGGATAAAGGTGCAAGAACTGAGAACATCGCTAATTTCAGTGACAAAGATAAACAGGAATCCCCCAGGCTGGTGTTTGGGTATAAAATGTAATCGAGAAGTGACGCTTAACAGCAGATGGACAGCTAGACTACTCGAAGAAGTATCTAGGACATCAACCAAGGACCATGAGGTTTCTTACTGCTCTGTTCGGTGGAATTTGCGCCTTTGTGGCGGTTGCAGAAACAGCCACTTATCAAGGTATGATAAACATGAGAAGAATATATTTTAAGCGAACATAAATACACAAGCTTTATGTTCTCGTCAAAATTCTAACCTACATTTTTTTCTGACCCTGGTGCAAACAAGGCACTCGGGTACTTTTGATTTCATCCTGGGGGGGCTTATGGGCTTTTAATTATGAATTATTCCAGATACTTTCTGAGTTTGTGTGTGATTTTTTATATTATTTTATAATTTTATTTCATGATAATTAAATATAGAGTGCCAGAAACACAAGCAATGTCAAGTACAAGTCTTAATATAATTACGAATTTCTAAATATTATAATTTTGTAGCAAATAAATAGATGAAATTGGTAAAAAAAACCGACTCAGATACGTATTCGCCTTGTAGAGTCTACGCCATTTCAGAGTACGTAGTGTACACAATATTCTCATAAGGTTATATTAAGATTGTTAACTGATTAACTGGTTCTTATTTAATGTGGCGATTTCAGATTCGTGAGTTACTTTGTGTCAATTACTATTTTCTTTGAATTTATTATACTTGTAACAGTACTTATTATCAACAATACTAGGCACAGAATTACCTATTTAATCTCCATTGCTCGGCAAAAGAGGAAAATGAATAAAATTCATTTACCGACTGCAAAAGTTAAAAATTTACTTCACTGTCGTGTTGACCAATGATAAAGACGATTTAGCACCTATTTGCTATATGTTTGTCGCGAAGTTTTGAAGGCAAGTGTGTTTTTACATAATTAGCTCTAACAACACTTCAAAAATAGTGGTAATAACAGTTCAGTATTTTGTCCTATGTAATCGGTTATCTTACGGTGTTTCCTTTCTTGTTAAATTATTTCTGCCCAGATGTTTTCCATATTTATTTAATTGCAATTATAGTTCTTATATATCGTCCATTTTCAAAACAATCATGTTGGAACTATATATTTTACTTGTTCGTCACTCTTCTTACGTGTTACGTAACTAAAATATATTACTGATTCACATTTTATGAACTGTAGTGAAAATATGAAAACGAATAGTAGAAATGTGTTTTACACTTCAACTCACCTACAAAGCTAATTTCATTTCGCACAGACAATACGCTGAACTAAGACAGATTATTTCTTACATTTTATGAAATATTCAAAACACTGAAAAAAAAATTCATAAAGTGAAAGTAAGCTTTCATGCATGACAAGTCGTAGTTGACAAATTTTATAAAGTTAAATAAATACATTAAGGGTTATAATTATCCAATACGCATCAGAATTAAATCTCCTCAACAACTTTCATCGTACGCATCAAACACAAAGTTTAATCTAATTCACTGGAGTACTAACGGTTGTAAAACACGCGGGCGGACAGACCGACAGACACATGAACATAGTTTATGCATACGGGATTTGTTGACCATACTTAAATGTTTTACCACGTGGAAGCACACTGAACTAAATCAAAACTGCTTTATCTGCAGCTCTTCTCGTCCAAGACCCTTTCGCCCCCTACCCACTGGTTTACGCCGTTCCGTCTTGGAACACAGAGGACGAAACTCTGAGATTGCGTCGGTCACCAGATCATCCTCATGGCCACCAACCTGCACATGTGGGTCCTGGGTTTGGTGGAGCCAGCGGTAGCAAGTCTGAGGCCTCAAGCAATGCTGGAAGTTCCGCATTTGGTGGCCGTGGTAATGGCGGTCACGGCGGAAATACAGGATTTGGAGGCGGACCAGGAACTGGAGGCGGTATAGGTCATGGCGGAAACTCAGGCTTTGGAGGCGGACCAGGAACTGGAGGCGGTATAGGTCATGGCGGAAACTCAGGCTTTGGAGGCGGACCAGGAACTGGAGGCGCTATAGGTCATGGAGGAGCTCCCGTTGGAATAGGAGGGACAGGCAGCAAGTCATCTAGCAGTTCCATCAGTGAGAGTAATTCTGGAGGAGGACTTCGTGGTGGCTCTGGAAGTTCGTCTTCATCTCAGAGTAGCAGCAGCAGCCTCAGTGGTGGCGGCAAGGGTGGAAGTGGTAGCCAGTCTAGCTCCTCGAGCGATGCTTCTTCTGGCAGCAATGGCTTTGGCAGCAAAAGTGGGTCTTCCAGTCAATCAAGTTCTTCAAGCAAGGCAATTGGCCACGGCAAATAAAGCACTAACTATACAAAACCCAGCTTAATTAAAACTGTAACAATCGTAACCCATTACGTTCCAAGGTCGACAGCATTGGCGGAAAAACAGATTACACCTAGCTGACATTTCTGATATTTTGGATTGCTACAAGAGATGGTTTCTTGTAGAAGAGGCAGAAACTACAGTTACCACTGCAATATAGTGAAATTATCACATTTTATTCTCGAATAACTAAAGTTAAAAAATAACAGCACAAAATTGAAGTAAATCTAAAAAAAAAAAATCAAAATTTTCTGCTTATATTTTAAAATTTGGCACTTTAAGAAACAACGTTTAGGACTCAAGTCAAAATTTAAAACAGCTAATGTTTGTTTTTATACGTAACCGAGAAACTAGATAAGTAGAATACCTTACAGACAACGCTTAAAAATGTAGTAGGGATAATTAGACTTATATTTTAATATTAGTTCCTTTATGATATATATAAAAGGGAAATTAAAATTACAATACATTTCAAATTACAACTCTGTATATTTCACAGTATATGTAATGATAATTAGAGTCTGCTAATATAACTTAAATAGACTGTCTTCTAACGAAATCCATATCATACATGATACAGAACCAAACGTTTCGTTAATGTATTAATCTCTAAAAAAAATGTTGTTAAGAATTATGAATGCTAATTTTATACAGAATGATTATTAAAAAATTATATTTATTGACATGTGTTAATGATTTTCCCAATTCTTTTCTTAACTGTCCCCATACATATTTAATTTAAAAGTACGTCTGCTGATTCCACATTTACATGTTATCGTATTGCCAATTATAATAATATGGTGATATTTATGACATTACGTTTGTAAGAGTGTGTTACGCGTAAATTATTGTAACAGTTACCATGGATATGCTGTTAGACTGAATGCACTGATAATAGAGGTAGGAAGGACCTCTGAAACGTCGGTAAACTTATACCAGACCAACCCAGACGACAACCACCTTCAGACTCACTGTCGTGAAAACCTCAAATCCTATTTAGTTTGCTTTAATTTAGTTTGACTTTGCTTCATTTAGATTAATCTTGATTTCAGGCTTCTTATCCCCAAATTCTACCAACACTTCTACGTTTACAGACGCATTTCCGCTATTGATTCATCCACTGGTATCTTTAACAGTTAAAGTTTCCATATCGTCCCGTGATTCATGAGATTTGGGCGTCTAGAATGCCACGTCTACATAACAGCGAGGAACACCAACCAATTATATATATATATACACTCAATTTAAAAAGAATCCTTGTAATATAATTTTGTTGTGTTACCATAATTAATCGTTAAAGTAATTCTAGCCTTAATAATTATATTCAGTGTTATTTGTAATTATTATTATTAATAATAAATTTTTATATTAGCATTAATCTTAAGAGTCAGTAGTGTCCCAAAATTTACAGTATCCATTGAAGGTAATACTAATGTGATCAAAATATTTTGTGTTATTATTGACGAATTAAGAAAACCTAAAACAGTTGTGTGAATGAAATGGACTCAATGAATTATTTGATTCGTTCAGCTGAGTTCAATTTAGTTACGTCCTTCCAAATACGAAGCAGGGACGTGAAGTTTGGCCTTGCTAACTTCAGACAATTCGTTCGACAGCCAGTACCAAGATAATGTTTTCGAAAATGTCTTTCTGTGACAATACACGATATAAAGATTTTCGTAATCTGTTCAATTCGCACACTTGTATCTGGTAGATTCATACGGCACCCTCTTTAAATTACAAGCTTCTTCAATTGTAGTCGCCTTTCACCAGAAAGAAAATGGCTAGCTCTGTTCATTCTTCGGAACATTCCTTAAGACAACCACTTAAGTTGTCGTCTCTGAAATAATGTGTTGAACGAAAAGGGAATCCTATAAGACAATGGTTGTTAAAATACAAGAGATAGCAAGCGCTGTTCTTTTCACATGGGAAAGAACGAGTTTCATAATTATTACAAGCAACTCGTTAGTTGCGGTCCGACACTCGCCCCACTTATGGCAAAGTGATTCATCTTTAACAATTTTAGTAGTCGAAGTGTGTTGAATAAACAACTCCATGGAGTACAATCCTTGAGAAGCTAAGAGTACGCCTAGCTATTCAAGAAATTTCCTGACTTTTTAATGAAACCCGAAGGATCATTACCGTAATCAGACCAAAATTTTTAAGCATTATTCAACTCCTCCAAGATCATCCTAATATTTGAAAGAATACAAACTATGGGCTTTGTCATTCTGCAATTTTCCCCACGCCCCCTGTCACTTTTTCCCCATTCACCGTGTAGTCTCGACTTATCGCCCTGATGATGGGAGCAGAAAGGACTTCTGAAACGTCGGTAAACTACCAGACTACACAGCGCTAAATCTCAGAAGCCATCTTCGTACTCATCGCCGTGAGAGCATTAAATTCTACTTCGAGGAAAGTATAGTACGCGACTGTAATCTTGAGACTTGCAATGAATGCAGGAAGTCCGAAGCGTTAAAGGCTGGCGCTGTCTTGCCTCCTTCCTCCTTCACCCCGCAAGTCTCAAGATTACAGTCGCAGATTATAATTACGAAAGACAAAAATATGTATTAAAGAGAATGAAGGATTTGAGTCGATATGTTCTGAAGTATGTTTAATTTTCCTTTCATAATAATCAAAAGATGGCTGAATTTGCGGCCATATATTGTACACCCTGTATATTCACAAGAAAATATTCTTACAGTAAATACCCTCGGGTGATATGAACGTCTTCATTCGTTACGCAATGGAACCAGTTTCATTATCCTTGGCTTCAAGATGACGAAGACAGAACCGCATTGCTGCATAAGTGAAAACCTGTTTTGCGTTTATAAGAATCTGCGTAAGTGTTTTAATATTGATTTCAAGATTAAGAACAGTCGAGCTTGACCCGTGACGTAGATGTGACCTCAAGAAGTTAATAATTATATACTTGACCAACATTTAGAGACAGGGTCTCGGAGACGAATATGAAGATGTCTGTCTTCTGGGTTGTAGCGCCGTGTAGAAGTTTACCGACGTTTCAGAGGTGCTTGCTGCCTCTATCAGCAACAATCCAGAAGACGGTCGTGTTTTAAATACAGTAGATATAAAATAATAGAACAGTAACAAACAAAATAAAATAAATTCTTCCATCTTTATTAATTAAATTCATTGTCGGATTTTACCTAAAGTGAATAGCTTTAGGCATGAAACGTGTGTTGTAAGCGATGGGCTGTTGCATATTGTGGGAAATTCACAAAGTTAATTGCCAAGTACCTGTTTTCTAAGCAGAAGGTAAGAAGTGAGATGCGGCATGTTGATTAGTTTCCTTTGCCACTATAGATAACCCTACTGTCCGTGTTGGGGGTTTCTGCAAAGACCGGTTCACCTCCATTATTTCTCTTGCAGTTAAAAACATGAGAGACCATCATTATCTGAAAGTTGACTTGGAGCACTGGAATAAACAATAATCTTCATCCGAACAAAAGCTCTGAAGGGAAAGGAATGATAAATGCTTTAGGTCATGGTTATAATTAAATAATTTCTGCTGCAGAGTAGTATTTAAGGTCACACATGCTTTGACGTCATGAACAAGCCAAAAAAACTTGTTCTGCTGCACAATCTGCGTCCAGTGTGACGTATGTCATGTTTTGTAAAACATTTTGTTCTTTCAGGGATTCGTCCCTCAAGTCGCTTCTGACCTTTCATTCCGAGAAAACTAATCTTCGATGCACAATGTACATTCCTTCGATAGCCCATTCGAACCTAGGATTCAGTACACAAGATGACAGATTGCACACACCTACCACTAGGATCCAGCAAAGTAAAATATACTTTGTTAAAAACAATTGTAAACTTGAATTACTTACAAAACACTTTTATTTTAATACTTTTTAATGCATTAACATAGTAAGCAATGTCAAATATTGTTTACAAATAAAACTGGCTTCATATCAGTTATCAAGAATCATATATAAAATGTCAGATTTATAATAAACTCAGGTTTTTTGGTTTTGTCGTTTATGAAAAATATATTAGTTCCAAATACACATTTTTCATATGTTTAAACAAATGAGCTTTATATTTCTCCCTACTTATTTCCCGAAGTAACTATTCAGTTTTCAGAAATATAATAAAAATGACAACCTTGCTCGTACAAGTTCAAAGCCCAAACACAAAAAATGGTGTAAGTATGAGTTCAGATTGTATTCTTCTGTGTTAATGCGCCTTGAATTCTACTAGGTACATAACGTGATCACCTACAAAACATGACAATGTTCCACCAGGAAAAACTACCTCCATGTTCAGGACTGAAAAGCCCTGTCCCGATCTTTATACCTTCCCCCACGTAACCATTTAACATTCTTTGTTCAATTAAACCCTGAAGATAAAGGCGGCATATTTATCCGAAATGTTGGCGCATGAACTGAAACTGATTACATTCATGATGACAAGTTTGGACATAATAAAACAACGGCAAGAATTGAGGTCTTTCTATCTTAACATGTGCATTAAATGTTTTTCCTGAATACACTCAACCCCTTTAAAAAGCATTTATATAATATGAATCTCAATACAATTTGAGTTTCTTTGAGCATGAGCACTTTCATTAACTCATTTTGTAAACATTTTTATGTGGGCTATTCCTCTTGGAAAAAGGATACGTCTTTGATGGTCTATTGGATCATAAAAAATCATACTAGTCAAAGCGCTAAAATAATTGAGCAAAGATAAGTTTCTACAGATATGGGGCCAGTGTCACTGAACACATCAAAGCAAAGAATGTTACATACGAGCTCATACATGTTTATATTGTAGCCCTGCAGCGTAAAATTGAATATTAAACACAGTATTTATCAGTCACATCTTTGGGAGACTGATCAGAAGACTGACACTTAACGTAGAAACTTCTGCGACAGAAATCACATCGGATTCACTTTATAAATATTATTGCATCACTGTCGGATGATGCACTGGACTGACTGGAAGATCTGGAGCCTCCTGATCCACTATACGAATCTGAAGACGACTGGCTTTTAGAATTACTACCTCCACCAGCACCAAACGAACCAGAAGACGATAAAGCGTCACTGCTAGATCCACTGGATGACCCGCCAAAGCCACCAGAACCAGAAGAGGATGCAGATTGGCTGTTGGACTGACTTGATGAACTACCGAGCCCTCCATTAGTTGAAGATCCAGACTGACTATCGGAAATACTATGCGAGCCTCCACCTCCACCACCCCCAAAGACTTGAACAATAGCAGCATCATCACTTGAACCTCCGAATTCGCCCTGAACGTTGCTTCCAACTCCTCCACCAGCAGACTGACTTGCAGCATTACTAGCTGCTTGAGAATTGGTTTTGATTAGACTGAAGCCTCCTAACCCACTACCTGACTGGCTTGCTGAATTACTTGCGGCCTGGGAGTTACTTCCACCTGGGTATAAACCTAACCCACCACCTGACTGGCTTGCTGAATTACTTGCGGCCTGGGAGTTACTTCCAGTTGGATTTAAACCTCCTAATCCACCACCTGACTGACTACCCGAGTTGCTGGAAGAACTTGACTGACTTCCTCCCGAAGAACCTCCAAAACCGCCACCACCTCCTTGATTAAAGCCACCGGTAAACCCATGATTGGCATTACCAGAACCTCCGCCAAATCCATTAGCACCACCGAAACTACCTCCTTCATTGAATCCGTGACCTTGACTGAATCCACCTGCTTGACTAGCAGCATTGCTACTTGCTCCAGATTGTCCTCCAAAGACTTCACCTCCTCCTGGAGCAAATCCTCCACCACCCTGGGCACCAAACTGGCCGTTGAATCCCCCACCAAATTGGTTCTGGAAGTGGTGTTTGTGGTAATGTCTGCCTGGAATTGGTGCGCCAAAGCCTCCGGGGTGTGGAGGGCCGAAACCAGCTCCGCCACTAAATCCCCTGTCGTAATTGGTGTACGCGCTGCTTTGAGCTTCAGATGAAGATAATGCAGAAGAGCCGCCTCCTCCAAAAGAGTTCGAACCTGCATTCGCTGCAGCATTTGAGGCCGCAGAACTATGAATACCGCCTCCGCCACCGTATGTCTGAGAACCGGCATTAGATGAAGCCCCACTATTACTGAATCCTCCGCCACCGAATGAATTTGAATTGGCGTTTGATGCTGCTGAGCTTCCACTTCCGCCCCAGCTACCACCGCCGCCTCCAGAATGGGCATTCGATGCAGCGTTCGAAGATGATAAGGTTCCTGCGCCGCCCACACCGCGGGACCCAGCGTTAGCTGAGGCCGAATCCACGTTGAACTTCAGGAGTCCGAGAGGCCCAGTGAACTCCAGGTGCGACGTACGGCTGTCGGAATTCGAACTGGATCCGTCGCGATTGTGACCCAGGGGTTTCAGAATCTTCCCCAGTCCACCAAGGAGACCATTCCCGTCCAGTAGTGATCTCGGCTGTCGTTCTGTAATAATAAAAAATATGTAGGTTAAATAAGATAAATCACTCAGCATTACGTTGGGGCATAAATGGTTCTACGCGTTTCTTATACATTCCTACATTCATAACCTCACATTTACCTGCTGGTCCTAGTTTTCATAAACAAGGCTTCAATTATTGAGTAACAGCGGTATAACCATTATGTTAAGTGTATAGCGGAAAATTGACACCAAAATGCAGAAAATTAATTATCTTAGTAAACTGTTCTCAAGTCTGCTACATAAAAGTCAGCTTTATGCTTCTTTGCTTTCTTCCAGTGAGTTGTTGTTTCCTCTCGCAGCGAAAATGCGATCGGACGTCGCGTTAAACTTTTCTGAAACTAATGCATCACGTAATAAGGCTGATACGAAAAGTTGTTGGAAAAAATATTTTATATGGTAATCTAACCGGTAACTTGCAAAGATATGCTTTGTTTTCACAAAACTTTGATACACGAAGTAAAATATTTCATTGGAACAAGTTTTGTGTGATGGATATTGTAAATTATGTTAATTTACCAAGTATGGACATAATGCTCTTCAATGTGATTCTGTGAATAAACTTAAGAAAGGAATTGTGGGGCGAGAAAACACATGTGGACTAGATGGTAAAGTGATACGGGGAAAAAGAGATAAGGAATATTACCAAAGAGATTAAAGGGTAGAAAAAGTGTCAAACGATAAAAATAACAAATAAATCACCCTCGACCACTTCACTAGGTTTCCCTGAAGAAACGTAACTATCTCGCGTTGTGGCTCTTAAATATGTGTATTGCGTTGCTCTTCAAACCGGTTCGTAACATCGCGAGGGCCCATCGCGTCATCACAAACAACGTTTTGGAGACTTTCCAGCTAACATTAGTTAGGGGCTTCCCTAACAGTTTCAATTGAAAAAATACGAAACAAAATTGTGATGAACCTCCTAATTAGAAGCGTCATAATATTACTACCGGAAAAAGGTGTGTAACATCGAATGGTAAAACAATAATATGAACAGGATGTGGAAAACGTCAGTGACCTCTTTAATGCAGTATCCCGGCACTTCCCTGGACGGACTAAGGAAAACCACAAGAAAACCTTAAGAGTAACAGGTTTAAGGATAGAGACTCGGACCCGGGACCTCACAAGGGTGTGCTAACATCTCAACCGCGTCGTTCTATCCGTTGGAAATAATGAAGAATTTCATTCTGTTAAGAATATGAATAACTTATTTCTAGAATCTCTAAACTTATATTTTAGAAGAGAACGGAAATCAACATTTTCTTCCTAGCTAGTTAATACGTCCGCTCACCTGTGTGTGATCAGTTGGACAACACTTCTGTCCTTCAAAATGTTCTGGTTCAGTACTAATGGGACTGTAACACTTACGGTGCATTACACACACACACAGCTGAATCTTACATTGTATCAGCCTTGAAATTTCGTTAGCATATTCTTATGAAAAATAGTATAACTTCTTTACTTAACAAAACGTTATTAATTGATAGTAATGATTCAACAACGACTTTACGAAGTAAATGTACGAACTTAAAACTAATAATACTTTGCTACAACTTTGACAGATTTTTACTTTGAAGGTGATTCTCAGGTAGTTCCCAAAATTCACGTTCGTAAATGACTAATTAACTAAGTAGCTAATACGTTGGAGAACTATATATCTAATAAACGAACTTATTAAACCTCAGCGACCAAGTAAATGACATTCACTGACTCTCCAACTGACTTTCTCCCGTTACGATGACTAAATAATTGAGTTATTAAGTGACTAGGTAGTGGATCGACTAAGTTACTAGACAAATTTAATGAATCACTGACTGAATAATAAACAAATTACTAAGGAATACAATTTTATCATACTATCACGAACCATGGATTTGTTAGTGTTGTTGCTAGACATTTGTATTTTTAAATATTTAAATAATTTAGAGGCTATTACATGTAATTATATCATGAATTTGTTGCTGAATGATTTTGCAAAATTTCACTTACCATGTTTTGGGAATGAGTTCACTTCGTGTAATTCAGCGCACACCAAAACTGCCAGGGGCACCAACAGCACACCAAGCCTCATCGTGGTTCAGGCACACACAACTACTCTTCTCTTCGGCACACAAACTCGCTTAATGGTGACCGCGACTTCTTGCCGTCTTCTTTTATACAGAAAAAAGATGGGCAGAATTAATACCTGTGTGAATTATGCTGGACTCTCCAGGGCAGGTTCTTCTGCTGCTGCAATTCTTCCGAGGAAACCCATCCGATGTTTACATGACGTCAAGACATACAAGGACTTCATGAAAGGCTAGTGTTACCTGCTATTAGCGGTGGGTACGGGCTCTTTCAAGACTGGCGACAGATGTACGTCTCTCCCGAACATCCGGCAAATATTTGCATTAGTTCAGAATCTTATGCGATGTTAGTCTTTCTGTATATTTTCCCATCCAAACCACTAAACGGATTTATAATTTCATGGACACTTTCAGCTATAGCATTTATGACAATTCAGTACAGAATTTCTCTATCGTCATGATATATTTTCTCTGGAGACTGACCACTATTAATTTGTGTACCTCTGGGAAAATGCCTAAAAAAATATTTCATAATGGGCCACGATAACTTCATTCATAACCTTCAAAATTCATAAATCACTTTAATTCTTTCGTTACATAGCGTTCTAAAATTCAGAAATGGTACTTAAATTACTGCTCAATAAATTTCTTGCCACAATCTGTATCCTTGAGATTACTGGTTATTCCCACTAGATACCAACGGTTCTAAAACAACGCCTGAGTGCGTTTTAGTGCGTGTAAGTTTTCTGTTTTAGCTACAATTCGGATTGGATGTACAGAGAACTGAAATACACAATTTATGGGTAGAAAAGACATCAGATCCTACGATCTGTCTGACTTTGGACTTACAAGGATGTTGCTAGAACCAGGCTTCCGCTACACGCGCGTAACACAGAATGAACACGACGGTCATGCTACACATAGTAATGAAGAGTATCTTAAGTTGAGATGTATAATTTAAAAGGATAGCATGTCGCAGAAAACGGAAAACCCCTGAGGAGGAGAACGTAACTTATATTTCTGCTGACAGTACCAATTCGTATTACGGTACTGAATATAAAATTACACGTTGTGAACATTTCTGACGGAGGCAAATGAGTTTTTCATGAACTTTTCGTTCAAAGATAGTGACATGCGAAAAACGAACCTCTAACCGGTGCCGAATTCTAACTGACTTACATTATTTAAAAGTATAAGTAAATCAGATGCAGAGGATATATTTTAACGTATGTAACAACTGAAGTTCGAATTAATCAAGGGATTGCTGTTAGCTATTTGAAAACATAACGTTTCGCTACAGTCGCAAATTTGTGTGCAATAAATGAATGCAACATACAAACTTTGAAAGAAAGTATTAAAGATATGAACACTCTATATTAAAGCGGAAATTTATTTATTTCATTTCTTTCTCTTCGTCTTTTACGGATTAGGCCTTATGACTTGTTCCAATTCGGAATTCCTTCCAAAATTGTTATTCAACTCACTAGACGTGTCATCAGCCAGATAAAAGGCTTCCAGCTACACAGAACAGCAAAATACGGAAATACGGGACATAAAATATACCCTAGTCTCGATTGGGATTAGAGCCAGAGATCCAGGTATTCAATCAGCCGAAACCCACGCCTGACCACACGGCCATTGTAACAGCCATGTTCTTGACCTTACATTTAAAACAGCCATTAAGGAACGAGTCTGGTAACATTATTCTTGGAGACATGAGCCACCTAACACGAAAACAAATCAACAAGCCATTACCAAAAGGACTTTGCTCTTTCTAGGAAAAGACAATTTCCCCTGCCTCTTAGCGAAAGCGCTGCCTCACAGATCAATATCTTGATATTTCAACCGATAGACACGTGTCTGTTGGATGGAATGTACGCATAGATGAGTCACAGGAACGCAATTTAACGGTGATAAATTCCAATGGACCTGAAGCAAGTTTCATCGCTTCAACTGAGTGCAGAACTGCAAAAAGGCGTACGACCAACACACTTGCAACTTATTTATCCACTTTTCTGAGCGAATGATTAAACTGATTAACCCTTTAAAGGCTAGTGGTAAGTACACATGCCCCAATTTAACAACCAGTAATTCTGCAGGTTATCCTAAGAATGAATACATTTCTGGGGTGGCTGTCTTCTGGGTTGTTGCACCGTGTAGCCTGGTAGAAGTTTGCCAACGTTTCAAAGGCCCTTGCTGCTTCCATCATCAGGGCGATTAGTACTTACAGACTACACACCGCAACAACCCAGAAGACAACTATCTTCATACTCACCGCTGTGAAAACCTCAATTCCTACTGAATATATTTCTCTTTGTATAATTCTAGGGGTAAACAGCTATTATTTCCTTAAGCAATATTAACCAATTGATCTTTGTAATAAAAGTGTATTGCGTTTTCTTTGCGGTTGGGGCTAGAGACGAGCTTCGGCTTCAATTTTTTTGTGTTTGTCTTACGAAATAACTAACCAACTTACTGCTTATCTACCTGCCTATTTACAGTACTAATAGAGACATTAAATTTATTAGCGAATTAAGTTCACTGACTGGATAACTAAATTACCATCTACCTCAGTGACAGACAGACAGACAGACTGAACTGAATAATCAACTACGTGTCTATTGTGGTCTTCTGGGTTCTGACATCTTGCGGTCTTGTACCAGCGTTTCGCAGGGACGTATACCCTCCATCTTAAGTATTAATAACAACCCTGAAGATGGAGGCGATACTTTCCTCCGAAACGCTGATAACTACTTACAAGACAACACGGTGTCAGAACCAACTCACAAGATCAAAATCGAGCTCTTGCCTGTCACAAGAACAAGAACAATTTTCTGATAACCAACTCCAATATTTTAAATACAGATTATCTGCTTTCACTGAACTAGATGGTTTATTATTACGTCCACAAAAACGCAAGCGGACACCACATTGAGCCAATTGGGCCTCAACACCCTCCTTCTCTAACGCGAATTCTAGTTTTATCCTCTTATGCCTTCGTCAAAGGTCAACATCCTCACATTATGACCGCATTATTTTAAAAGTATAATAATATTCAACACTTTTGTCTTACTATAATACTTGTGTCTCGACGTATGATAAAATTAATAATGGGAATGCCAAATTTAATGGTGTCTATCCAACAGAATTGTAACTTCAGCCTCGGTGCGTATTGTGATCAAATTATATAGAAGCCACAAATTCGTCTACCGAAGTATAGGCCTATCTTAAAAACCTAAACTGTTACATATCATGAACTGAATAGTGACTGCCAAACAACGTACATTCCTCTAGCAAATATAAACGCTTAACGATTAGCGTTATACTAAGGTATTATAAGTGTATTTTATCCACACGGACCTTTAACGTCACAAATACACACACTCAGTCGTAAACCTTGAACTGTTAAGTTAGAACACTGGAAAAACACAAAGGAAATACATTTCCGGAATTATTGTATTACCACGAGCTGCTTATAAAGCGGTTTGGGTGGTTTTTACGCTGGAAAAGGGATGAGTTATCTCAGCATCAGAAAGGACATACTGCTATACTTTATGGACGAATGCAGGATGAAAAAACAATCGACTACAAACCACACCACCAGGAAGCAGCAGCAGCACACTTCCTCCGTGTTTTACCACAAAGCGATCTTTCAACTAGAAAAATAAGAGGATGGCTGTCTTCTGGATTGTTGCGCCGTGTAGATTATCGACGTTTCAGTGGAAGCAACATACACCTCTGAAAAGTCGGTAAACTTCTGCCAGACTATACAGCTCAGAAACCCAGAACTCCCAGCTCTAAAAACCTCAGAATAAGAATAAAGCCACTGAAGGGTTTTCTTAACCGTTTAAAGATTACATTACTTAAAAGCCTTTGCTACAAATTCCAATTCAAAAGAACACACATAATTATAGAGTTATTTTCTAGAAGATATTATAATTGTAAAGGTTTGGAGGGGAGCGGACTTTAAGTATTTTGAACCTTCTTGTCATCTGCCATCTAGTTGTTGCAGTGTTCGGTCGTAAGATGCCCACTCTCAGTATATATTAAGTCATATATTTTCGAAGATTTTGTTACTTATTTTTATAGGTCTATTATTATTTCAGCCTGCATTTTTCGCCCCTTCCATATTCTTCAGTGCTGTGAAGGAGAGAAATTAAAGTCTCTGTGAAAATGGGTCGCTAACGGACCCAATGTCCACCCTCCAGCGGATTCTAACAGGTCAAAACCGAAGGAGTCGGGAAAAACCCTGTCTAATGCCACTTTGTACAACATAAATCTTACACAGACTGACCTTTGCAGCGAGAGACCAATGACTAACCTCCTGAGCTGTGGCGTGGCCTTTCTACCTCCTTACTATCAATAAATATCAGTTTTGTAGTTTCCTTTATAGCGTCTGGGTTTCGCCAATTACATTAATACTGGCAAACAACACAAACTAAACTGCCCAATTTAATTCCGAGTCGTAATTTTGACCAACTTAATAATGTGTCCTAAAGCAAAGTTGAATAGCAGCACCAGATCAAATTATTTCACCTTTAAGACCACACGGCGTCATAGACCAGAATTATCAACGATTATTTGAGATTCTAAACTGATGTTCTTTAACGTCAATGTCATTTAGGTGACAAATTAAATCTTTCTATATATCATACTATTGCGTTGATTGTATATTTGCTTAGTCTTTTTCGTAACACTTTCAAACACAAGACAGCTGTCACTGACAAATTCAGCTGCTCTGAAAGATCTGACTTCAGTTATGTTGATATAGTTTGTTACGTTGACATCAAAGCTTATCAATTTATATATTGTTTAGCAAATCCGTTTCGTTTTGTAAGAAATCATCAATGTCTTCCCTACGAACAGTGTTTTAAAATTTAACCTCTACTATACAAATCTTAATTTCGTTGCATAATACACTGTACTACAATTTGGGCATAACCATTTAACGCTTATTACAATAAATGTGTCTAGATGAAATATTAGTACATCCGAAAATGTCTACGTTTTCTTTAACACAACTGTTTCTCTCTTGCTATAACGAATCTATTACACTGCTTAGCATTTTCTGTTAGGTATGTTTATTCGAATTTTCTAAATTTGTCATGTTTGGCCAGTATTAATTTGTTTTAATGCACTTTTTAATATTATAACTTATACCCTATTTAAAGTTTTATGTCACTTACATGTTTACTGAGCTGAGTTGCTTCGTCGTGTCCAGTCTGCTGATGGGAAAGTTCTGATTTTGAATGATGCGTATGAGACTATTAACTGTTCAGAACGATTATGGATCATGACTGCCAACATATGTAAAATTATACAATTTTCAAACCTAAATCGAATAAGTAGGCAACAATGTTGTTAATTAACTACCGTTTGTTTCATATCACATTTACATATTATATTATATAGTATTGATCCCAGGTATCCATCGGACTTCTTCCGGCACAAAATTTAATATTTCCGTGGTCTGTTTGTAGTATAGTATGTCTTACACATAAAGTTCCCGGAAGTGTTACCAATGAGCTGTAAAGCTTTATTATATATATATATATATATATGTATACATACACCGAGCTTTCTATTCTTCTTGTTTGTGTGTTAAATTTTGTTGCTACGTTTCTCGTACTGATACAGTACTGACTTTATGGTTGTGTTCTTAAATAATATTATTAGTTCTTTTATTTTCTTTCTATATATACGAATTTTGACCAGATAGAATTATTTTGTTTTATTTATTTGGATTTTTATATTGTTAAAATATTATTTTCGTACAATTTTTTATTGCGAATTTTACTGGAACATAACACGACTGAAAAATAAATTAAATGGTTTAATCTTTTCTGTTCCAGCTCGAAGCTTACGCATTAATATAGATACAAACCTAAAATGTTGCTTTTATTGTATGTGTGTGGAGCTTCGTACCTCATTCTAAAAGAAAATTTGAGAACAAATTGCTGAATTAATTATTTGAACTTATGAGAATGTAAGAAATAGGGAAATTATTGGGCCTGTCCCCTGTATACGCTAGGAAGGCATTTGGGGGAGAGAAGTTACAGCTCTTATGCGTTTGTGACCTCGGCTGTAGATAGAGGTTGAGTAGTGAGCGGCAGTTCTTTAGCCCCGGGGAAATCCCCCCCCCGGTATCAAATGGATAGGAGGCTGGTTGGGCCGCAGAGGCTTGAAGAACAATTCTTTGCCCCTGCTGAGATCGAGCATCGCTCTTTCCTTGCAACAAAACGGTCGGAGCCTGAACTAGACATTCAGCCATTTCTAGTACTGTCCAATAAGACTTCGTGACACAGAATTTTATGTAGCTTATGCTTATACTAGGTTTATAAAGATCATGGACTTATCACCGATAGGGAACACTAGTAAATATTTTTAATTGTATCAAGATTGCACAATTAAAAAACAATGGAATTATTTTCTCTTTGGTAACACAAAAATACCTGGAGTCATCGAGACCTTCGGCTGATGCCAAGCCCTTTGCCACCTGCTGGCTGACCTTGGGGAATCTCCAGCTTTGTTTAAAAGGCATGGGTGACCAAGCTATGAAGCAGAGAAGCCATAAGAAAATTTGTCTTTGTATAAGACGTTCTGGGGATAACTCATGACATCTACTTTCTTTAAAATAATTCATTGTATATTGGAGGATAGAATAAACATAAATTAAAGAGCTGCATTCTTACATTCAGAACTGAGGTTCTGGTGGTATTTAAGGGACTGTATGTATGGATGTGTGCGCACACACATATAATATTGTATATACGCATGTTTATATTGCCCTCCCTACAAAACACACATAAATATACACAAAAACAGAGTAATTTACGTTTCAGATGATGAATGATATATAAATTCACTATAATTAAAATCAGTAGGTCCAGATATTTTATTGAAATAATAGTTCTATTTGTTTAGACTAAACTAATTTTTTGTAAAACCTAATTCCTTGACACAATTCTAGTAGTTATTTTACTGAATTTGCATGTAATGCTATAAAAAATAACCTGCAGTTTATTCCAACTATAAACATTACATGAAAACGTTAATAACAGGTAATATGTAATCATAAGTCCTTCATTGTACAATATCCTACACTGATCATTTCATCCCTCTTAGGTTTAAATATTTCCTCAGAACCTTTCTTTCAAACATTCATAATCTTCTTCTTCATCGCAAGACAGCATGGTCTAGTCATAGGAAGCATCTGACAAACCTGTTTGTGTGCATACAGTCTTGCTATGTTTTTAAACTTAATAATAACTATTAATTATTTATCTGCATTTTATACAGTCTATTTTTTATGACAAGGATACTGTTTGTGGGACTGAAGAATAGGGATCTCCATCTACTCTATACTAAATAGGCAAAAAGTCTGTTTTCATAAAATTCTGATTCCAACATTTTATGCTCTCTTTAATTTCACTTTAATATTTTACATCATATCCACCAATTTCTATCATCAACATCATTACTATAAGAATGATTATGATTATGATGAATGACATTACAAAAAGTAAGTGAGTATTAAACATAACAAAATTATAAGAGTTATTAGGCTTTAATATTTATTTGATTAATCTCTACTGAATGATTCTGGGTCAATAATGGATTTCCCATTGATCTAAAATGTGGACAATGTCCTATTTATCAAATGGCAACATACAAAGTTTGTTCAGAGTTCTGATAATGGATTTGACATAGCAGTCATGGGCATATAAATCAGAAAGTAGTGATGGTTTTATAAGGATGCTTCAAAAGTTTGCCAACTAAGTGGCGCTGAAGTGCAATAAGCTAAATTCTTACATTGGTCTGGTAGCTTCCTTGACAGTAGTCAAGACGTTCACAACGGAGCCATCTGGTAGAAACCAAGGTGACGGCGCTTCCTCAGCCTCCACTGTTGTCAGCCTTCTCACCTTCCACCTCTCCAGGGTCAGTAAATCTCAGCTGCAGGGATCATATTTTGGTAAGACAGACAAGATGAATAATGCAATGACAGATGCTCTGAAGAGAATCTTGTAAAATATTTTCCAGTGGTACTTCCAAGAACTGCAGAGCATTTAGCAAATTGTGTGATTGCCAAGTACAATACTCTGAGGACAGTGTTGTGCAATTTTGAACCTGCATTATCACTCAACAAAAATAAATCCATTATTGGAACAATTTGAACCAAACTTGTGTCGGTCTTTCATCACCCTTTTTCAAGACAAATAAATTTGTACTTTCAACATTCTACACACTAAATATACCACTAAATAAAAAGAAACCTATACAATCTTAAAATATTATCGTCAGTTTAACAAAATAATATTTTGGTTCAACTGAGATTTTATTCTAAATGGTCTGCATTCACAAATATACAGGAAAAGTGAATGAAAGTTTAGGTTAAGTTTGAAAGCACTGCAGACATCTGAGCTGTACCATTAGGCCTATATATAAATACTGCATTTTATCAAATTTCTTTGATAATTATGTATGTAAATCCTAGGCATGAAGAACATCAAGAACAGTGTGATAAAAGAGAGATAAAGATAGCTTAATACTTTAGAAGTTGTGGATAAACAGTTTACAATTATAATTCATAGTAGGCCTATTGTACACAATGATAGATTAAATGTGACATTTCATAAATGCTAATACCAGTACAATCCAAGCAACAATTTCATTACAAATCAATGGAAAAGGATGGCTGGAAATACATATAAATATGACAGCATGCTGAAGATGGCTGTCTTCTGGGATGTTGCATCATTTATCCTGGTAGATGATGACTAGCGTTTCAGAGGTGCACAGAGTAATTTCCCTGAAGACAGAGGCAATAAGAAATTCTAAAATTTTGGTCAATATTGTTCAGATTACATGACACAACATCCCAGAACACAGCCATCTTCATACTTGTTACTGTGACAACCCGATAGCTTACAACATGACAGTGTGCTGTCATTTCTGCTGTTACATGGATTGTATTCCCTCACATATCATCATCAGCAGTGGCAAATGTTAAAAGTACTTATACATAACATATAAGTTAATGCTCATTAGGCAGTAAAATACCAATGGTATTGTTACTTAAAAACTATGAATTAATAATTTAACACTGAGAAAAGTAGCACATCATAATTCAAATGATGTACCAACACTGACTTGCAACTCAAATTTCAAATGTCTGGTCTCGAATGTGGTATAGTCAGAGTAACTAAACGTTGTCCCTGTGCTTAAACACTAAACCACAAAGACGTATGATAAAGAGGAAGTATAGCTCCACACATTCTTATCCTCATATTAAACAGAGGTGAGAGGTCAGCTTCACATATCTGCTTTTTTTCCTTTATTCACACAACAATGTTAATGTTGTGGATTTCTATACTTCTCAATTGAAATGTCAGAATGTTACAATCTATATAGTAAGATGTGGCACAGAGGAAGAAATATAACATAATAGCAGAAAATAATAATCAAATAGAAACATTATATGTAATAATGCAAGATTTAAATTAATGTTTGTATAAATAATGTTTAAACCATTGTACTGTTATGTACCATGTCATATTAAACATAATCACAACATTCAAAATATAGTGATTTTTCTGACTAGATACAAATAGAAACCACACTCAGAACATATCATCTTGGTCCACTGAGAAAAATGTCTATGTAGCACAAATTTTAATTTGGATTACAATAAATATTTTCTTTTGTTATCCCCATTATAAGGGTGTCCATTACACTTCTATTTGCATGAGCATCAACAAAGTTCTGAAACATAAATAGAAATATTTTGGTACTATATTTAACATTGCAACAAGGTTTTATCTCACTTTGTTAGAACAATTCAAACTATTTTCTAAATCCAATAATGAAAATTTTCTAAATAACAATTTAACACATTCTTAAATTTTTATAATCAAGAATTACTGACTCTGCCATTCATTATAAAACTGGCAAACTAGAGTCTAACTTCAATGATTTTTTAAGTCAGAAATTCCTCCTGTTCTCATTTTTGACTGTAAAAACTGATCTCTCTCATAAATGACTTAAAATATCACCATGCTTATAATTTTACATATAAATACTTCACAAAATGAGCTTCAACACCATGCAGTGAGTATAAACTATAACTCCATCATAAAATTATACGCTAATGTCATAATGAACAATGTACAAACTCGTCCATACACAATATGGAATAATTCCATTTTATTATGTTACTATCTAACAATATAGTAGAGTAATGTTGAGTAAACTACTTTTAAAACAAAGTTTCATCTTTTGGTTTTATGTACTTTTACAAGATGCTTTGAATACATCATTTACTTCACAGTGCAATATTGCTCAAATGATGTAACCTTACATGTATTTGAGCGAATTTTCAATAGACTTTACTCATTCACTCTGCTAACAATGTGATACCACAATAATTTGACTTCAATTTTTGCTCAATCATTAGTCTCCATATTGTCATATGAACTCAAGCATGTCCTTTATTATAAATAAATATGTATACATTTGTTACATGTTTACATGGGTATATCTGATGCAAAATATTTCTGAGCCTTAGCTATATCATGGGAAGGTGGAAAGGACAATGGCGAGCATCAGCTACATGTGCTATTGCTTGACTTCTGCCCCTCCCACCCCATATCTCAGCAGGTTAACCACCAAGTCAATAAAGCTCAGAGATATCTTGCTACAAGTATACATTTTTATTCATGACACAGAACAGAAAGGCACTAATTAAACATTTTATAGAAATACATAATATGTCACAAAATGTGACATTTGCTTCACATTTAGTTTTTTAAAATAATGTAATGAATAACCTCTTTATTAATTTTTATATTGCTTCAAGTATCAAATAATTATGAAATATATTTTCATAATAGTGATATTTAATCTTCAGACACTTTCACACAAAATGCATCTTAAATCATGCATTCACTAAATATTTCCTTAGTTGACACAATATGAATAAAAATGTTGTCATTGACTACATTATTTAGAGTAGCAATATACCAATGGAAGTGAACACTGTATGGTTCAGACTAAGCAATTTAATCTAATAATAAGTATGACAATTATTTGTGGGGTGCACAATTGAAACCTTGACCCAAGCAGCAATATTTGGACTGAAGCTTCATATGATCTCAGCCAATTTCTGCAGATGAATGCTAAATGATGCCTTGAAACAGGCCATGACTGGCTTCCTCCCCTACACTTTCACAGTTCACTGTAAATGACGATTCTCCGACATACTGAACACTAATTAGTTTCCACAGTTCATACGATACTACAGCAGAAAGCACAATTCAACAAATCCGCAATTAATATGTAAAAATTATGTAAGCAGAGAATGGCTATAAGGGTTTTTATTCTTCCTGATACACGCCACAGCAGTTTCTCTATATGCTCATATACAACTTAAACAGAAGTCTTCTTAGGCGATCAACTTATCAATACAGAATACATTCTGATATTTTAGAGCCCATTCATGTTTTTATATCAAAGACTGATGTGAAGAATTGACACAAATAATATGAAGTATACTGGAAGGTCCAACAGATCCAACACCCATTCGCCATGAACTAATCATTCCAAGGGCAGTGGACAGAATCAATCCATCACCCACCTCACAGCTGAATGCTGCTTGGTTGGATGTTACAATAAGTTTAATCAAATGGTTACACATCTTGCAGGTGTCCTAGATAAATAGTCTTAATTGGAATAAAACAAGAATCAGAATATATGAATTTTTAAAGGATGTTACTGACTGGGTTCCATCACTAATTCAGAATGAATTACCCATTTATATTAAAATAATTTTGACTTTTATAGCTCATTAGGCTACCAGACTACACAGTGCTACAACCCAGAAGACAGCTATCTTCATAATAATCCCTGGTAATGGAGGAGGAGATAGTCTCCAACTGAAACATCAAACTTCTCCCCTGTAGATGAAAGACTCTAGGGCTGTTGATGCTAATAATTGCTCAAGCACCCAAGAAGGCTTTATTGCATTTAATCACTGTAAGAACTTCAGATCTTAAACAATACAAATATGGAAGTTCATAAAAGCATTATAATCATCTGGCTTTATGATGAACACTATTACCTGAGAAATTGCTTAAGCACTAAATAAGGATTCAAACTTTAATTTAAACTTTTGTATGTGACAAGTCAGATAATACAGAACTTTGCTGAAGGTCATCACAGATTAGTTTCACTGGCTGAACTATTCTGCAGCAACAAACAGTTCAGAATTAGTTGACAAAGCCAGCAGCTATGTAGAGTAGCTACAAACACTAAGCTTAATAATATTAATAACCCATCCTGACAAAGATAAATCCACATTTAATACATCTAATTGAGTATGCATGATTTTATATAGACACACACACATATACACACATAATAATTATGTGAATATTAGCATTTATATAATTATAACACTTATTATTATTTATTATTGTTATTATTATTATTATTAGTATGTCCTATTTACTGCAGAAGAAACTGCTGGCTTTTCATAAGAGAATTAATTGCCTTCATGGAGCTAATTAATAACTCATTTGACAGTCCAAAGCCATAAATTGTTCTTATTTGTCTTTTGCGGATTAGACCTTGTGGCCTGTTCCAGTTTCATCAATTTGAAACTGATTATCACTTTAAGAAACAATACAGGTCCCTCAACTAAACTAAAATAATTTACTTCATTGCCACTTCTGTTATCAGCATATATCAATATATTTTCATTAAGCCAATATTTCCTAAAATATATTTTACCAAGGCCATAGAAATATTGATGGAACCCCATTCTAAATCAAAACAAGAAGAAATAAATTTCAAGAGGTTGTAAGACATAGGCAGTTTTCCAACATACTTAGAGGTAATAAAATTAGTACTGTGAATTATTAAACTTACTTCATCTGATACAGTGAGCACTATGTGGCAAAACTCAAGCAGTATGGTTCATATATTTCTCTACTGCTACATATAAGATCCAAGCTAGCTCTACTTTAACAAGCCACAGCTTATGATGTTAATCTTTGGTCAAAGATATGCTAGTGTAAAAGGTTACTAATTAGAATTGTCATTAATATTCTACTATAGTGATTTCTAAACTGTATACTTGTCAGAACTGTAAGGGTCTTGGCAGTTTACCAGGAATTCTGCAAATAAATTTCTATAATAGCAAATAATAATTTCTATCAAAATTATAAACCTAAATGCAATATTATCCAAAAAAAAACACACCTTATTGCTATTATTGTGCATGATACTTCCAAGCATGTGGTATGCCTATATGCTTGGACTTATTTATAATTTAACAAAGACCAGCTTCACAAAATCAGTGTCTGCTAGACCAAATGCCTCAGTCTGGTAAAAACTTCAAGTCTATTATCTAACCTGTATGTAGTTTTCAATGTATTGCCATGATTACATGAGTGGGAAAATATTACAGCCCAGCATCGCTTATTATTTTGTATGAAGATACAAATTTAAGTGTCAATTCAACATTATTTCAACAATACATAGCAACATGAGCTATGGAATAATTTTATAGTGGGGCAATGGCTACAAGTGGGACATTAAAATTGTACTGTGTTTACTTGTAAAACACAAAATCACTGTTATACTTTCATTTTATAAGTGCAACTTTCTGGTATGGGGTTCCATAATTATTTGTCATGGCTGAAAATTTTCTGCTGGCAAAGAAAGTTTGAAACATACTGTTTTAATCTATTTATTCACATCTAAGATATTTTAATTGTCATGTTGCTATAAATGAGACAAGTCTCTTAAAAATATCCATGTCATATGTCTAAATATCTGAAGTGTTAACAGCATAAATAAAAAATATTCTTGCCATCTATTGACAGCTCCAAATATGCTTGATTTATGACAGGGTATCAGATATTAAATACACAAGAATGGCAAATTTTAGTAAAAAAAACTAAGAATTGAATTATTTGAGTTTCTCTTTCCTACTGACAATCATATCATGATAAAATGTAGCATATAATAACATGACTCTTCAATTGATCCAAGTAAAATCTGTCTTCAAATTAATAGCTCCAAAGACAAGAACTGCACTGTTTGTTAACAGAGTCAGAATAGGCAACCTATTCCCAACCAGGATGAGGCAATGGCAAGGGCTCAGATTTGTCAGCTCTCATGCTCTGGTAATACTAGGGCCTCTGCTGTATCCAGTCAGTGATCACCTGTGAATGATCAGCCCAAGTACTGAAACATCAGGTATTCACATAACAAAATTATATATATAATTAGAAACATAACTAACAGTATCAATTTGATTGATTCTTATTGCTTGCATAATGTTTCCATTAACAATCACTAGTAGCAAACAAATTATTTCCAAACACAAACTGGAGTTACAGAAAAAATTACAGCCTCTTGTCATCAAAATCTAGATTTGATTTTAATATTTTCATATTCAATAAATATTATGTCACTTTTTGAGCTCTGGGTATTGCAAGGTTTGCTGACAATTCAAACAATGTCAAGAAATGGAGTGTATTGCATTCATTAATTTTTTATGTATATCTGTAACTTAAATTCCGTATAAAGAGAAACAAGTAATTGCATATACCTGTAAAGCTTCAGTATATGAACAAAATACCATAAGTTTTGGAACAAATTACTAAGATTACTGTTATAGATGTAGTGGTAGTACTTCTAGCCTCAATTGCATTTTTTTTCTCTTGTGTTTGTTAGTTTGTCATCAGTCTTTCGACTGGTTTGATGTGGTCCTCCATTTTCACCTATCTTGCGCCAATCTCTTCATTTCCACATATATTTTGCATCCCACATTATCAAAAATCTGTGTCACATATTCTTAGTCTGATGAAAATACTGAACATTTACATCTCTCTCTTTATCAGTTGCGCCTTATTTGAACAGAACATTTTTTGAACAGAGTTCTCACCCATCCACACAAATTATTGTACAGTCCTTTTAAATAATATACTATACCTATAACTTGCAGCCCAAGAAGCAAGGGGGTCAGTTTTCAGAGCCATCAGCATCATCACCAACACCACTGGATTTAAGGACTCTGGTAGTGGCCTGATCCATCTCAAACCAGTCAATCCAGTTTTTAATGGTTTTCCAATGCTCCTTTTCACTTGTGAATCATAATTCCAAAGTCAATTCAGGATATAACTTTCTTCCATCCTTTCAACATGTTTACAGCATTTTATTTCTGTACTCTAAAATTCTATCTATATGGCTTACACTTAATATTTTTAAACTGTATTTAATCTTCTGAAACACATGAAAAGTCTTACACAATTTAAGTATCCTGAAAGTATCTACAAGTACAACAGTTAATAATCAATATATCTGCCTTGTGTTCTGCAAGTATGTGAAACTAAGCTTATTATTGTTTATCCTAATGGATTTTGTCATTGAACACATCCATTGCCTTCAGTCTGAACCTTATAGTGCTGCAACAACGTTCTACTTATGTAAAAGTCAGCATAAAAGCTTTAACTTGTACTTTACAAACCACATTTTAACTGTAGCCCTTATTTTCATTAAAGCAAGTCACAATTAATTTGTTTTAGTTTACTTGATTCAGACAATATTGCCATTCCAATCTATTTAAATAATTTTACTGCTAACACCAAGTTTACTTGTAACACAGAATTTCTATGCTAAATATGTTAATTTTCGGTTTGTTCTTCATGTTAACCGAAGTACATTCATACATATAAATGTCTGAATTCTTGTGGCAGACTGAAAGAACAGAAATTGAAATATAGTACACCAACTCCTCAATTTATGAATGTTCAGTTAAATTTTTGTATTAAGCAGATAAAGAATTAATAATGCATTTCCTCACATGTGTAACAAACATTTGCTGCAACAAGAACATACCAACCCAAATCCCAGAACCGAATTATCACCAAGTTATATCAAAGAGAAGTTCTTTAATCTTAAAACTTTAGTTTTTTTTGTTCCTTTATTACATTATATTTGTCATCCATAATAAAAGTGTTTCTGAAAGCTGTCCAATGGTAACAGCATTTGTAGAAGAGGCCATTTTGACACCTATCATCATTACTGATAACATTTAGGCTTCTGTAAGTTCAACCAAACATGCATCAAAACAAACAATCTCAGGCCACTGCAGTGATGCTGTAAAATTAAAGAGAAAATTTGTTTTGGCTTAAAGAATGACTATTGTAAAATGAGAAGTTGATATATATTTATTCTTGGTAAAGATTTAGGGAATTCTATAAAACAAGGTTATGTAGCTCATGAGATGTTATTAATATCTGAAAATACCTATTACTAATTAACAAATATGGTGATTAAAGGGTTAAATCCCAGTTATAATGTTTAATTAGTGCATTCTGACTATGTTATATTTTTGTATAGTAACATTCTCTTCCCACAGCAGAGTATACACATCATTCATGAAAATGTATTGCAAAATTGCATACAAGTAATTACTACAAAATAAATCACTAACAAAATTATTCAGCTACCCCATACTTAAATAAATACTGAAGAACATTAACATATGTTCAATAACTGGTATTTTCATTACTTATACCCTTCAGAGGTATCCCAGTGTAGCATATGTCTTGACAAATGGTGTATCCACTTTACAGCTCTCCCTGGAGGAAAGAATAGAGAAGTTAGCTACATATGTAAATTATCAACAAAACATAAGCAATAACAATTTCTACATCAGTGGTAAGAAACCTTCAATACATACAAATTTAACACAAGTGAAATTATGTACTTCAATGGATTTTAAATTTCTCAAATGTGTACTTTGCTATTTTCCATATACCATTGATGTTTACTTATTGCAGATACAGACCTGTTGTTGTAAGGCTATTCTCACTGTAAGTATCACACTGCTCACAGTTATAAATTAAATTTTCTTGTATTGTGTAAAATACTTATCATCTAAAATAAAAGTAGTAATCTTTAGTGAGATCCATATTATAAATAATTTATTCTGTATGAGTCATTTTTAGGAATCAGACAAAGTTCAATTTGGGTTTCATGGGAAGCAGTGATTATTACACCAATTATGCTCAAGAATTGTATTCTCTTGACTTCTGATGCAGATCCCCCACCAATATCAAATTTCACCAGAATCCATACAGTAGTTTCAAAGAAGAAACATGGATGGGCAGTTGGAGACAGACACACATGCATGTAATAATTCTCTTACCTTTTTGCTGAAGCCTTGTGTCTGTCTTAAATTTATCATGCAGCCTTAAAATGGTTGATAGTTCAGTTTCAAATTAATTCTACCCATGCCTTTGTACATTGACATTTTCAGTTTCATAATAGTACTTCTAATTATGTTGACCAAACACAGAGTCACACTATTTTTAGCAATAAGAAAATGCAATGTAAATGCATGTAACATTCCTAAACAACAATGTTATTTAGTGGTATTATTATAAAGATACCACTAATAAATATCTTACTGTTATTTGTACGAGTATTTTTGCATGTTTTATGAATATCCAAAGGTGTGTACATTTTTAAACATACATTATCATGTCAAAAATGGTCTGAAAATAATTATTGTTAATAAAAGAATAGAAGAACATCAAATAAGATGACTGGAACACCCAGGAAGGATGGAAAACTTCCATATCCCAAGATTACTTTCTCCACCCACAATATCAATGGATGCACATTTATACTTATATTTTGTAAATATCAATAAACTTACACTTAATGTACTATCATTCTAACAGTTTTAAATCAAATATAAAGAAGGCAGACAAGATTAAGTACCCTAATATGTAAAGATTATTCCGGCTCCAGAAAGTGTAACTTAAATTCACTAGCCATTTCATAATTTTGACTCACCCATACACTCTCAGTGTGCCTCAAATATTTTTGTACTTACCACTGGTCTGAACTATGGACAATGACTGGGTGTATTTCTGGAACCTTAAATGAATTATTAAACAAATATCTACAACTAATCCTAATTTGATATTAAACAAACCCTGTGCACTTAAACAGAAAAATAAACTGCACATTTTTCTCTGCTGAAGCAGTCAACTACCAATATTTCAGAGAAACATACTGCTACCAACATCAGGACCAAATAAGGAGTAATGGGGTGAGATAGGATAGGGATGACTCAGGCTATAGAGATTAGCCAATCAGGGCCATAGGATAAGGCTGGGAGATAAAGCAGGATGAACATTATCAGAGAATCACCATGACAATGGTGTGAAACTTTTAAGTTATATATCTAACAAATCGGACATAGTTGTAATATGTACTAGTGAAAATTATGTACACAAATGGATCATTAAATTATGTTTTATAGTTCTTGCTAGCCTCAACCACACTGTCTGAAGCATTCGATGGAAAATAGCTACCTATCACAGATCATAATTCAAAATTCTATTAGGGATATGATTTTCTTCCATCCTTTCAACATGTTCCTATAATTTACTTACCCTTCTGATATTCTAGATAATTAGTCTGTATTTTATTGTCTCATTTTATTATTTTATTCTATAACATTACATTTGTCCCTTGAAAATCTATTCTTTGCCAGCTGTTAAATTTAAAAACTGTCATTGTAGTTGGTATCATACATACTTTCATAAGTTATTACTATGTCACAATGAATGCCTGATCATCTGGAAACAATAGACAGTTAAACTTCATATTATTTTAATAACTATTTTATAAATTTTCCCGTGAAAAGACAAATATTGGATTATATACATATATATGTACTACTTACTCATCCTCCCATGGGCATATTTCGTTGACTTTCCTGCTTTGGGAATCAGTATGTTCTGCCCATGTGGCCACAACACCCTGAGTATGTAATGCTCTATCACCACCATCACTTGTGCAACTAACAGGATCTTCTTTAGCTTCAGTCACAGAAACTGCATCCTGCAGTGTCTGATTAGTACATGTTTCTTCAGCAGTGTCATCTACAACTGAACTTACACTTATGAGGGGGGCTACAGACACAGACGATCTTTTGCGAGTTTTTTTGTAAGTCCTCAAACATGGATCATCACTACTCTTATTAGTCCTGTCCTGCTTCTCTGTACACACAATCATTGCAGCCGATGAATCAAACGAGCGTTGCACGGCTGTTCCTAGAGCAAAGTCCTCTGAGGAAGACACTGAAGGCCTAGTACTTCCAGAAGGCTTCGTTGTTACAGATGACCTGCGCGATTCTGATGAGCCTAGGCCAATGATGGAAGCTGTAGAGTACTTTCTAACTGTCTGGATCCTTGCAATAACACGTTCCTCACATGACACACGAGAATTTTTATCTGATTCCACTGTTGAAGCACCAACCAGACTTGGCTGTTGCAGGCCACAGGACTTCTTCAGCCTATCAGATACCTCAACCATAGGAACACTAATATCTGAAGATGAGCTGCCAGAATCTACCTGCATGGAATTCTTGCGGGAAGATTTCAGTTCTGGCAAGGGCAAGGGTTGGTTTGATGCTGTGTCCCAGGGATATATGTCTTCACACATCAAGGAGGAACCTGCTGCGGCAGACATACTACCTCTTTGTTTTTTATCACCCTGAGGATGTAACATGATCTCAGGTGAAATTACTGGTAGATCTATGGCTGAGTCCCATGGACAAATGTCATCCTTCAGACTCTCTCCACCACCTCCAATGCATTTATCTGGTACTTTCGTCACCTCTTCTATCGGTGCTGCCCCAGAAGGGTCTCTGAAACACAATGTTATGAGAAATGTTTACAGCCTTTATATTCATTACATCACACCTGTCTTTGTATGCAGAAATGTCTCCACTTAAAATTAATTTCTTTACTATTCAACAAACCAGGGTTCTCAACCTTTAAATACCTGGAACTACATTCACTCTTTGCATTGTGGGCTGCCAAATTGTAAATGTAAATAATTTACTGAAGTTTCATGGTAATTTATTATAAATGCTACTAACTAACTTTGTAAACTGCTGGACATATTACTCATTATCTTCTTTAACAAGGTCAGTCATTAGTGAGATGTTTGACACAGCTTTTACTTGATGAATATTTCAATAAGAGGTTTCAGTTTTGGTGCTGTGATTCATGTGAATCCCTGTTAGTAAGCCTATTCATCAATAAACATTTCTTAGTTCTTGATTCAGCATTCTTCATTAAATTAATAGTTGTTCAAACTGCCAAATACCAACAACATTAACAAGTTTTCTGATACAAGGTAACTACATTTCATCATACAGAGCAACACAGTCTTACAAGAAATGCATGTGGGCTGCTCAGAAAACACTGGTGGGTCATAGGTTGAGAAACCCTGATATAGATGCCTAATTTGAAACAATCTGTACAATGTGAAAATTAAATAACTAAATCTATTTACAAAAGTAAGGAAAGAATATCAAATTGGTTTTAAGACATCATTAACTATATTGTGATAAATTAAACATCATACAAAATTTATTAAACCAAATAGGTAAACATCAAATAATGTATAACATAGATAGTATTCAATACTACAAACTGCATGCCAAATAAAACACTAATAATGTACTTGAATTAAAAAGAACATAACAGCTATATACAAAACCATACCCAAATGGTGCATAAATATTATTACTATCAAAACCATTAATATTTTCATATTGTTTTTAATTCAGTTTATTTACATGGTTAATAAATCATGCTAATGATTGCTATCTTTGTATATACACTAATTACATAGTATAAACTGTCCAATCACTGTTTAACATTCATTTTTTTCAAATTGCATATCACCACTGAAAACTCTCAACCATTTTAAAGTCAGCATCCAAAAGCATCACATATGCAAAAGTTCCACTGCAATTCTGTTGACATCCACGCAACTTTTTAGGTTATAATTCTTTAGGTTGACGTTATCTGTATGCTTAAACACCACACTGTGAATAAGTATGGGGGACTGGAGGTAAAGTTCCACACTGTCTTAAGCTTGGCACAAGGAGGTGAATACTCAGCTTCAAACACTAGTCACTTCACCCCTGGTTAAAGACTCAAGTACCTGTTGGATTTGGATAGCAGACTAGACAGGCCCCAAGGCCAGTGTGTATGTGATAATAAATGAGAAAATTAAACCCCAGCCATCAATACCACAACCAGATACTTCACTGACTGAGTTATCTTGGTTGATATTAATAGCATGAAAAACATGATATTTACATTTACATTTACATGTGTCAACAAAAAGACAGACATGTTTTCTTTTTAATTGGTGTAACTGATATTTGCATTGCAAGGGTTAACATTCAAAGGCACCTTGCATACTGTTATATATAAATCAAAACTCACCTCACACATTATTGTTTCATGCCAAGAAGTAGTATTTTTAGAATAAAAAGGTGTTCTCCCACTTTAAAATGTACATATCAATACACATGCATACAATATTTTGAACAATACTTCATATTTACATGTCTCTAACTTCCTTAAATTTTACCATTTACTTATTCAGGTACCTACATCAAACTGTAACTTCTGTAGATTATAAATGGTTTCCATTATATATGAAACATCAGAAATTGTAAAAGCAGTATCACAAGTAGTTATGAAAGCAAATATAATGAAATTCTCACTCAATCAGTTCTACAAAATATGTACATAGTATTTGTAGTTGTCCATGGAAACAATGAAGTGTAAACACAATCATGCTGCTAGTGTCAAAATAACTGATATCTATAAGATTCTGGTATGGAGAGTATGACTTTCTATCTTATTCAGTATTACAGCATTAAGTACTTTAAAGGCTTGGCACTCACATGTAAAATACTGTAAATGTTCAAAAGATAGTCTAAACTACAATTTACAGTGTCTGTGCCAACACCAAACTTGCAATTGAGTTAAAAATAGAAATATTAAAACACAGCATTTTAAAAAATGTTCTTGTCCTGGATGGCCAGCATGACCACAGCTGCAAATAGAATCTCTTTGATAATCTGCTTACAACTAGATAATATTTGAGACCTGACCATATTTACTATTGCAGGATGCAACATGCTCTGACCACCCCAGGTTTAATCTCACATCACATAAACAGTAGCTTAAGTTATAAACAATGAGGCAGAATTTCAGGTGATGGTACAAGTTTGTGCTGATGACTCTATACTTTATCAAGAAAACCAAGTGTTGTATGAAGAGCACTGTGAGAACCTTAGCAGAAGAAAAAAAGAGAAAGACACATGGTATAATGAACATGAATACAGACAATCAAAATAGCTGCTTCAATTGTCACCAATACTACGACACTCAGAAAAATGAAGAGAGGAACCAACCACATCAACTCGCACACAACACCTAGAAAATGTTACACATTGTACTAAAAGAAATGTTCCTATGGACTTACAGACTAGACCAAAGTGTTGAGGAAGCCTTCGACTGACAAGGCAGATCACCCCTGAAAATTAAGTCACTATATTACTCATGCTACCTAAAATAAAAAATAAATACTAAAGCATTTGTACGAAGCTTTATCAGCAATGCATAATCAAGTAGAAAAAATAAATAACGTTTCAAACTTAACACTATTCACATACTTCAAAATTACAAGTGCAATTACAAAAACTGTCATTGAGCAGTAACTTATGATATTAAAATTACAGTACAAAATATATAAATTTTACTATTATATTTCTTTGAAGGTTCCTAACACACATATTTTATTTATTATTATATATATATCCTAAAACTATCAATTGCATCCCAGATCATTTGCTAGTAATGTATGAATTCATAATATTAGCTTACAATTTCTGTCACCACATCTCTCACCTGTAGGGGATATCACTGAGGTTTGACTGACTATGGGAGTGAGTCACTCTGCTGGACAAGTCCTTCACACCTGACACGGCCAACTCGTGCACTGAACCTGACAGACTCCTATCACTTCCCCTGCGCTGCCCTAGTGAACCAAATCCCTGCTGCTGGAATGAAGTAACACCCTGTTGCTGCAGTTGTGCATATGTATTTGGAGCATTGCTTGTTGATGGCTTCTTCTTCATAGGACCACCAAACCCAAAAAACCTTAATATATAGTGAAAAATGTATTAATACTTCAAACAAGAAGCATCTAAAATTAATTCCTCATTTTACAAAAGGAATACATTTCTTAATGGTTATGGGTTTAGCAAATGTTTTTCAATGATAATTTTCTGTTAATTCCTTGGCTTTTCATAAAAAAAATATTTTTGGGGCTTCCCCTTTAATTACCAAACCTGAAAAATCTGACTTACATTTTGATGATGAATTACAGATGTCATGAACCAATACAAGCAATGAAACATATCAAGCTCGTTTTCTTTTTTAGTGATATTTGATGTGTAGAATCATAACAGCCTGATCACATTGGTCAGTATAAATCTCATAGATGGAATAGGTTTTACTTATATCTTTATGAGGTACCACAACCAAACAGTATGATGATGTAAGGAGAGTTAAATATTGTATACTTCATCAGAGATAATTAAAGGGTTGGAGAAAACAAAACTTGATACACTGACAGGAGTAATACACACAAATCAATAATAGCAAAGAAAATAAAATACATAGTACACATACATGAATTTATTAATTGTGATAGTGGTGATGATCTGAGAGCTTGGAAATCAGTATGGAGGCTAAGATATTTTTAAATGAAATTCACAAAAGTGGTCAATTCTTTAGGTAAAGTATGGAACAAATGACACAGTAAGAAAATAACTATCCTTTCCAGATACAACTCAAACAAAAATTTATAATGGATAGATGGCAACAAAGTAAATCAGTTTTGGTACATTTATAACATGTCATACCATATTTTTTGATTATTTGTTTAACAGTGATTAAAAACTTAATCTGCATGTTACTATTAACTCAAATTTCTAATCTATAATTTACTCTATTACTGCATGTTCAACACATTGTATCTTTCAACCTGTATGGAATAAAATAATTTATTTCAACTAATTCTAACAAATGAAGACATACCTTTTCTTCTGTGAAGGCTGTATTCCCGTAGCTAAAAGGTTTTTATAGTGCTCAGACCGAATAAACCGTGGATAGCAGTCCTTCTTCAGCAAGAGAGTATACACATGTTCTGCTGCTGAATCAAATGTGAAACGTGTTGGACTGCGCAGTTCCTGATGTACTCGCTCCATTGTTTTCCCATCAATATTTATTTCACATGGAGCACCTGGGGCCAGGAATTCACTGCAAATAAAGTTGTATGGTTTTTAACTATCTAGCGTTATAAATATAGCAGTTCTGCCTTATGTTAGCAAGATGTAAATTAAGGATGTAACCATTCAGCCAGACATACAGAATGCACTTAAGTGGCATTAGACAAGGAAGTGTGTCATCTCACATGCTACAAATGAGGTAACAAGAATAAACCACAGGATAAGAGAGTGCAATAAAAATTACAATCTGTTAAGACTTCTGAAAGAATGCTTATGATTTCACAGTAAGAAATTTACAAGTTCTACATGAAAACATCACATATTCAGCATAATCATCATTAGAAAAATCCTACAGCACACTAAGAATGAAGTATTACAGTGAGTACTGATAGCTTTCTGAATTTATTCACTGTAGGATATGTAGAACAGTGAATAAGGTCCAGAAAGTAATCAGTGTTATCATGATTGTTACTTTGAGTGTCATGAAACTGTAATTTTAGAGATTAAACTGATTTACTAAGGGAATAAAATAGTTATGACTGTTTTACATTTTAACTTACCTTATACTGGACTATATTAATTAAAACTTCAATGGCTATGGCAACTTACTCAAAAATTTCTCTCACTTTGCGTTGAATCTGAGACTGTGCACTTCTTCTCAAGTCATTCACAGCCATCCAGAACCTTATATTCTCATGGCTATACTCCTTGCGCAAATAGTTGGTAAATTCTTTCAGTCCTGTGTATGAAAATAGAACGTGGCTTAAATTTAAATATTCACTGTGGCAAAAGTAACTGAACTCAGCAGTGTAATATGTTCCTTCTTAACATATTTAAAACAGATATATACAATGAATTCAAATTGCAACCAATTATTTTATATGTTCTACAGTAGGCTACTTCTCTTTGGATTAAAATATAATAAATATGCAACAAAATTTGTACCTGTTGGATCTGACACCAGTTCCTCCATTGTTATAGCCCATCGTTTCACCCTCTTTTCTGTCGGTATTTCAATCCTGAAAAATTTATATTATGAGCAACTTTTACTTATTATGCCATTACAAAGTTATACAAAGAAATATATAACTATTTTATTGTAAGCCACCAATATATTTTGAAAAGTTATGATACAACATATTTAGATAAGTAAAGCTTTAGAAAATACCATGACAAATTTGACATGAATTTTTAACAAGAATTGATCAGAAAGTATATTTAGAAGGCATATATTTTGAAATTATTCACTGATCCTGATATATATATATATATATAATATGATAAATTATTTTTCTACATAGGCCTTGTGGAGCTTTAGACACTCAAAACATACTGTAAAATGAGACTTCTATACTCTCTCCACAGAAATCAATTCCCTGTACTTTCAATCATCATTTTATTGCCCCACATAGTCAATTTTTATGATTATCTAGATGTTTGTGACAATGGTTGATTCATTACAGGAATATTATGTTGGACACTGTCCACTGTATGCATTATATTGATACACACAATGTTTCTACTAAAATTTTCAGGTGACTGATTGCCATGATACTGACTCTCTTTTGTATTATTAATGACAATGGTTTGAAATAAACCCAGAACCATTAAACACCAGTGGTCTAGTGATTAGCACACTAGTCCAACATTAGGAAGGTTCAATCCTGATCGTCATCATTAATAATATAAAAAAAAGGGTCAGCATCATGACAACTAGTCACCTGAAGATGGAAGTACAGCCAAATCCTGCGATGTCACATATATCATGCATATCTCAGACAATGGACAATGTACAACATAGTGTTCTATAATCAGCTCTATTTGTAGCATCCCAGATGTCCATTTCCAACACTGACACAACATTTGGGTTGCCAAAATCAGATGACAATGTGGACAAAGCAGCAAAATAACAGCTGAAAGAACATGAACCATTATGTACAATCAGAGGATACAGAAAACTCAACCTACAGTATTTAAATTCTCTCTCTATATGAAGATACAGTAGAATAATAGCTTATAAATTAATATATCAAAGGATCAGTGAAATCACTTCAAGGTATATCTTGGAAACTTACATTCTGGTCACATCTTGTAATATTATTAAGAATTATGCATGAAGCTGACATACAATGGACCATTTAGCTCCCAAAATGTAGGGTCTTCAGAGATCCAAGGGTTTGATGGCTGTGCTCCTGAGATAAGTGGATCGTACTCTGTGTATGTTTCACAATGCTGAATCAGGTTGTCTAATGCTTGTGATACCTTAACACGAGTCCGTACAAGACAGCTTCGCAAAAAGTCCACCTGCAAACCAAAATTGAATTAAAATTTTTTCGATTATGACAAAAAAAAGGTTAAAATGTATGATATGGCCTAATTTAGAGAAGTCTGAAACATCAAGCAGCCCAAAATATTTTATTAGTCCAATAAGTAATTTTTACACTGTATTTATATTTGCATGACAAATATTATACTGAATGTACTGATTTATAAATCATGTCACACAGATTTCTTCATTCAGCTTAGTTTTGTTTTACCTCACGTTTCAGATCTTCAGGCATTCTTTTCTTAGCACGACATCCCCCCCTGCTTCTGTCAGGGACCGGGACCGGCTCAAGGAGGCTTAGGTAACCTGGTGGGGGACGGTACACTCGCCAATATGCTCGCTCCTGGCTGTCACTCACAATTTTGTCACCTTTCTTGCGCTCTTTTGCCAAGCGGACCTGTCAGAAATTCAAAAATATATTTGTAAAACATTATGACATTTTGATGTTTTCAGTGGAGTAGGATGTCACTTTCCTTCTGTGTGTGTATAGAAGATGCCATATTTTTATAGACACACCAAGTTTTGACATTCCTAGAGGAGTCTGGTTCTATGTTTTATTTACCCTTCTTGCTGAAGAGTGACTTATAATGTGAACCATATTCGATTTTTTTCAAATACCTCTGTATCTCTTATTTTAAAAGTGAGAAATGAACTTATATTATCAATGTCCATGACAAAAGCTAGATGACTGATAAAACCATGAGTTATAAATTATCTTCAATTTCCATTTCTTAACATGAAAAGCAATTATACAGCAATGAAATAGAAGGTTTCAATTAGAAACACATATATTTCATTGCTTACAAGAAAGGCTTTGATAAAGTGATGAGAACAAAGTTCTTTGGTCCTTTAGAGGAACATTTATGCAATCATAGTATAACTCAATTGTTACCTGTTCCTCTGCCTGCATGGATATAAAATCCCACTTGTTCTGCAAATTCTTCTTCAAACTAGTGAGTGCTTCCTAAAAACAAGAAAGAAAATAATACCCTACGAGTAAAGTGAAGATGAATCACACTGTGATAATGTGCAGTGGACCCTGCACAATGAAGTCATCAGGTAACACATTTCCGCTTAACAAATTGTCTCCTATAGACCCCCACTAACACAAATTTTTCCTCCATAAAACAACTTCTTACAAAATCACATGGTTGCCAATTTTGGCCAATCAAAGTGCTTTTAAGTGGACTCATCAACACCCATTTATGAGCATTTGGAGCTCTCTCCTTCGGAAAAAATTAATTTTCTCCGACCCCGCGTTCTCCATCTCTAAGCCAGTCATCTTCTTAGCCTAAGGTAAGAGTTGTTTTACTGTAATATTTTATGCTTTATTAACTGATTCTGTTACCACCTTTCTATTAATTTTAATCTTGCACTATATCAAGAAGGGTTAACTTATGATGGTCTTGGAATGAATTATGCCTTTAATACATATTTTCAAAATTCACATAATAAATTTTTCACATAACAAATTTTTACAAGGAATGAATTATATTTGTTGTGATGGGGTCCACTGTACTGTAATATAAAAATAAAGCACTAACCAGCCTTAACTTCAATACAAAATGGATCTGGGTGACTAGGTTCACGGTCTGGCCACTTCCAGAGCTAGTCCGGACTTGGTGGTGAAAACAAGAATCTTACGTTATTATTCAATACTACTTTCTTTCTTTTGGGCTTCATGCAACATCTGCTGAAAGTTTAAAAAAAAATTGTTTAACCGGGTGGACCTTCTTTCATCTCCAGGTTAAAAAAAAGGGAGACATCTACTCTACTTGGATTGAGAGTAGATCAGTCTACCAGAGCCAACAAAGCAGGTGTCTCCCTTTTCTAATAAGCTCAATCCTTTAAAACACTGACCTTTTATATGTTTCTAAAGAAAGCCTTTCAACAGATTATGGATAAAAGTCCACTGGGGCTAATCAACAGGTATGTACATCTACAATGACAACATCAATATAAATAAATATACTGTCAACCATAAAAGAGATTCAATTCAGAGACAAAAGAAAAATTTTCTGAAGGTATTGAATGTGAACATTATTACTGAATAGACAATATAATCTGAATAAGATATACAAACTTACAATCTCATACTCCTCTAGACCATGGCGCTGTTTATTGCGAAGGGTCCGCTTTACCAGGTAGATGGCATACTCAATGTTGTCAGGACTACGATGCTGCCACGGCCAATAGTATGGTGTCTGGAATAAAACAACTGCAGATTCTTACAAGTTTCTTCAAATATAAGTAACCTCAATCTGTGTAAGGATATAACCTAACAAAAAATTTCTATGTCTCAAGAATAAGGAAAGGATCAGTGTATATTTTGTGCTACTGATCATGAAAATATTCCTTCTGACAGCTTGACTGGAAAGTTTTTGTCTTCATGCTATCTTTATACAAATGAGATTTATGCAATATAGGGAGCTCTCCTTTGTTCTTTTTATTGCCTGCATATGTTTATGTTTGTTTTCCAAAATTACGTGACAGGGTTTGATGAAATTTGGTGTTGGGTGTTTGCAACAAAACTTGTCATATGAATTTAGTTGATATCAGTTTAATATGACCCTTACATTACATGAAGCTCAACTCAAACATCAATGAGGTTTTAGAATTTAATCATCGTAAGAAAATACATTACATAAAATATTTACCTCATTACGATTTTCATTTAAAACAAACTGAATATTAATGACAAAAAAGACAGATGACCTACATCATTGTGCAGCACTTCAGCTTTCAACTCCCACATACATGACCAGTCATTGTAGCTTCCTTGATTTCACTACAACAATATGACAACTATAACTAACTAACTAACTAGATGGCTTACCGAACCCGAAGGTTCATCACCGAATTAACCAAAGCCCTCCACCGGACCCTGTCCTGGGCCAACAAAATCCAGTTTCCTTCAACTCCTATCTCCCATAGATCCCGCCTGAGATTATCCTCCCATCTACGTCTAGGTCTCACCAGCGGTCTCTTCCCTTCAGGTTTCCCAACCAGTACCCAGTGCACACCTCTTGTCCCATCCATGCGCGCTACATGCCCAGACCATCTCACTCTTCTCGACTTAATCACCCTCACAAGACTGGGGGAGCAGTACAGATTTTTAAGCTCGTCATTGTACAGTTTTCTCCACGCCCCATCGTCTTCCCTCTTAGGCCCAAATATCCTCCTCAACACCCGATTCTCAAACACCCGCAATCTGTGTTCCTCCCTCTGAGTGAGAGACCATGTTTCGCACCCATACAAAACAACAGGCAAGATTATTGTTTTGTATACTTTAATTTTCAGGTTCTTAGAAATCAGACGGGAAGACAAAATATTTTGGACTGAGAAGTAGCAAGCATTTCCGGAATTTAGTCTCCTCCTAACTTCCTCACAAGTATCATTTTGATTTGTTATTGCTGTTCCCAAATATTTGAACTTTGTAACCCTTTCAAAGGATTTATTAGCTACCCTAAGATATTTTTGCCCGCCTGTCTTCTGATGACGAGATACTAACATGTACTTAGTTTTTTCTGAATTTACTTCCAGCCCCACTTGTCTACCAGCCTCTAGTAAAACTTCTGCGTTCCTCTTTATTGTATTTATATCGTCCCCCAATAAATTAACATCATCAGCATATGCCAATAGCTGATGTGTCCCGTTCAATTGCAAACCCTCCTGCCTACCTTGGACCTTCCTGATGGCGTATTCTAGCGCAAAGTTAAAGAGCAAGGGAGACAAAGCATCTCCTTGTTTTAGACCGTTCTTGATGAGGAATGTCTCAGATACATATTTACCTACTCGAATTTTGCTGCAGGTTTCATTTAAGCACATTTTTATTAGACCCACTAGCTTCTTTGGTATACCAAATTCAATAAGAATATTATATAGCACTTCTCTCTTCACAGAGTCATAGGCTTTTTTGAAATCTATAAATAACTGATGTACAGTCCCACCGAACTCCCATTTTTTCTCTAGTATCTGACGAATGCAAAAGATCTGATCAATCGTTGATCTGTTTCGTCTGAACCCACACTGATGATCCCCAATAGTTTCATTCGCATATGGGGTTAATCTTGCCAAAAGAATGTTGGATAGAATTTTGTATGAGGTTGATAGCAGCGATATTCCTCGGTAATTACCACACTCAGTCTTGTCCCCCTTCTTATAAATAGGAATAATTATGGATTCCTTCCATTGATGTGGCATCTCTTCCTTATCCCAAATTAACTGAATAAGCTTATGGATCCTCATATGCAACCCTTTGCCACCTGCTTTAATTAATTCGGCCGGAATCTGATCAATTCCTGGAGATTTATAACTTTTCAACTTCCCAATGGCTAGTTCCACTTCATCTAAGCTAGGTTCTGGCACCAACAGTTCAGCTGTATGCATTTTAATCTGTCTAATATCACCAGTATTATGAACATTTAAGAGCTCGCTAAAGAAATTTTTCCACCTATTCACAATTTTTATTGGATCTGCAAGCAAATTGCCACTATCATCCTTTACCAAATTAGTCTGGGGTTGATATCCTTTCTTAAAGTTATTAATGCCTCTGTACAGGTCTCTGATGTTTTTTTCCTTATTATTTGTCTCAAGTTCAGCAATTTTGCCCTTCAGGTATTCCCTTTTCTTAGTCCTAAAGGTTCTACTAGCCTCACGTCTCACGTTACATAGATTATCCGCATTTGTTTTGTTTGGGTTCTGCAACCATTGAAATTTTGTTTGCTTCCTTCGATCTATTAATTTTGAACATTCTTCATCAAACCACGGTTTATTTTGCTTTCTCCTGTAGTATCCTAGTTTCTCTTTTGCTGAAATTTTGATGCAGTTTCTGACATTTTCCCACTCCCTGTTGATGTCCACACTTTCATTATCCTCATTTGTCTCTAAAATTTGAAACCTATTCGAAATTTCAACTTGATATTGTTCCTTTGCCTCTCCCTCACTTAATTTTTTCAAATCAAATCTTTCTGTGTCAAAATTTTGTTTAGTTCGTCTACTTACTGAAAGCCGCTCCCTCACTTTTGCTACCACCAGATAATGATCAGTGTCGCAATCTGCTCCTCTGAATGATCTCACATCAATTACATTTGTCTGCCTTCTCTTATCTACTAAAACATGATCTATTTGATTGTGTGTTCTGCCATCTGGGGAAGTCCAAGTGTATTTATGAACATCACGGTGTGGAAATTTTGTACTTTTTACAATTAAATCTTTTGACGTAGCGAAGGTCACTGCTCTGACGCCATTATCATTACTAAGTGCATGGAGACTCTCGCTGCCTATTGTGGGTTTGAAGACATCCTCCCTCCCAATTTTTGCATTGAAATCTCCTAGCAGAATTTTCATGTGATACTTGCCAAATGTATCAAATACTGATTCCAATTCTTCATAAAAGCTATCCTTGATATCATCGCTTTTGTCTTCAGTTGGGGCATGAACATTAAGGACAATGATGTCGCACCAACGTCCTTCCAAAATTACGTAAGACAACCTGTCACTAACAAATTCTACTCTCTTAACTGCTGCCCTAATTCTGCTATGAACAAAAAAACCCGTCCCTAGCTGATGATTGTCATTCCCCTTTCCATAGAAAAATGTAAAATTGTCCACTGGGATCGGGCCCTCCCCCTCCCATCGCTCTTCCTGCACTGCCACTAAGTCTAACTTATAATTCCCTAATTCCCTACCCACTGATTTCAGTGCCCCAGCCCTATAGAGGCTCCTAATGTTCCAGGTACCAAATCTCATGTCCTTTTTCAATTGCCGTGGTCGTGCCAAAGAGTCCGTCCTGATCCGAGGCTTGGTTGATTTTTTCGTAACACATATTTTTTTTAAAGGTGAAAGGTTGTTAGCCCTACACCCAACCCCCAACCTGGAGGACCAGGGTATCACTCTTAGTCTAGCGCATCTCCTTAGACCTGTCCGGCTTGGGTGACCCTACCATGAGCCGAAGCTCAGGCCGGCATAGCCCTAAGGGTCATTGGAGCACGCAAGCCTCCTCACCCGGCAGATTGCCTTCGACAAGGTGGTGATACCTTCGAGAAGGACTCTGTGTGCAAAACGCACAGTTAATTAATGTTAAAATATTTGGTATATATAGTTACCACTGTGCTTTAAACGCACAGTTAATTAATGTTAAAATATTTGGTATATATAGTTACCACTGTGCTTTAAAATGTTAAGCTAAAAATTATTTAAGTCAAGTTGTAAGTGGAAAGACGTATTGACTGAGTACTTTTTACCGAACACGAGTCAACAACATGGCTTCCGGTTTTCACCACAGTAAATTTGCTGTTCGTGTTGGAAGGCGACGGGCTTCTTGTCGCCTGGCAAACGTAAAGCGGCGTAGGTTGCGAGAAAAGTTAAAAGATGTAATTTAAAAGTCGCTCGAGTCGTTCTAGTATTGAAGTAGTAGTAGTTAAGATCTAAGAGGATCTGAAAACGGGTACATCTATATAATATTCCCTTCGAATTAAACCAAAATGTGATTCCGTGCTTCTTACAAAGTATGCACATGTGTTACTCATGCACATAATGTGTGTAGTAAAATGCTTTCATACTGAATCCCGCTGAGTCCCTTGTTCTCATGGATTTCCTGTTGTTTCCCCACTCACTTCTCCTCTTCAAAAATATTTTTTATTATTGCTTTACACTATTACAGAGCGTTCAGCTATACACAACACGAAGTAACGCCCCCTGCTGATCCTACACTCAAGTTAACTACAGACATAAACCACCATCATTGTCAAAAATGTGCTATTATATTGACTCCATTTTGTGCCTCAGCTCAGTAATGTTCTATTTTATGGGTATCTGCAGTTAGTGCGGTATATGCGCCAGTTCGACTTTCACGAAGTACATTAAGTGTAAGACTATGCAGCAAAGCCACCATCAGCTAGGTGGTTGATTACTGCCACTGAACACAGAACTCTTCACCAGTTCCCTGGTATTAAAACCGAACTTTAACATCACTAACGACAAACCTCGCCACTGCAAAATATTCTGATCAGGTTCGATCTAATCAACATTATAAAAATCAGAAACTTCACTGTACACTAACAACGAAGAGGAGAAACAGAGTAAAGTAGAGACTACAGGGAAGTCTAGTCCGGGAGTAAGCAAGGCGTTAAGGCGAAATCTGAAGTTGTGGATGCCAGTGTTAAAAGAACACAACTTGTTATTCACTCTATGATTATTAGGCTATTTAACGACGCTATTTCATCGGCATACGTTATACAACGTTCAATCATAGCGCTACCTAATAAATATTAAATGTTAGGAAACCACAACGGAAACGTAAAACGAATAGTGATTTAAAGTTTAAATGTGTTCCTCACTGAGACATCAATGTCAAGGTAGTCTGTAAATGAGATTCCATAGGCTGAATACAGAGGTGTAAACGCAAAAAGTTTGGAGAAAAAGGGGGATATCTCACTTTCGAATTTATATCGCCTTAATTATGGTCTAAATGGGAAAACTTCGATTAACAGCTCACCTTGAGTCAATGTTTGGAAGGTCCCAAATTCAGTTCTTGAACATAAGAACGGGAGTCCTGACTGAGGTCTCTTGTGATTTTCTTGAATACCTCCAGGCAAGTGCTGTGACGCTGTTTTAACCCTTCAAAGGGCCAATGGTAAATACATACAATGGCTACTTTAACAATCAGTAACTCTGCAATTTGTCTACATAGTGTATTTATGGGTTTCGTATAATTCTCAGAGTAGTGATTATTTCTCTAAACTGGTTTAACCAGATGATCTTTGTTGTAGAGAAGTGTTGCGTTTCCTTTGAAGTAAGAAGTATTATTTCGATGAATTTTTGGCTTCAAAGTATTAACACAGCTAACGAGGTCTCCCTTCTACGTCATTCCCAATTTACCATTCCTAACCATTTTCCCACTTTACCTTATATGCAACTGAGATAGCGTAGTTAAATAAACTAAGGAACTGCATGCAGCTTTCTGTGTTCAATAAATATCAACTTCATTTATAATGCCAATAACATATATCGTTGCCTTTAGTGCAAGAAATTTTCTTCGTTGCATGTTGCCTCTTTCGAAATTTAGAGTGTCAAGTACAAAACGGCTGACTGTGTGTGTAAAATGTAGACCTAATATTTTTGGCGACTACTTCTTTGACAACTATACAAATCATAAAGTTCTTTGTTATGCAATATTCTCAATGTTTCACTTACTTAATCATTCTTAGACCTCGATATTTTCCTGAACACTGACTTAATAACAACAGTAAAATTGTAGTTAACTTTTAAGTATACCAAATAATCACTAAACTCACCTGGAATCGATATAGAGAACTGTCGTCTTTGACAACAAGATTCTTTGAATCACTGACAGGAAAGAAGTATCCATACTGGCAGAACTGGTTGCCTATGTGTACAGCCTCCACTACAAACACAAATAAAATACAATTGCATGAAAATCATTTAATTCTTCTACCTGATGCCTTGTGTTGTTATTGAACAGCTCAAAACCAAGCAACTTACAGCCTCCTTATTACAAAATCTTCCATAAGCAGCTGAAAGCTATTCAGTTGGACAAGAGATTTTTTGTAAGATTTGAGGTTATCACAACGGTGAGTCTGAAGATTTCTGTCTTCTGGGTTGTTGCGCTGTGTAGTCTGGTGGATGTTAACCAACGTTTCAGAGGTCATACTGCCTCCGTCATCAGCGCGATTGAACGACCTCTGAAATGTTGGTTAACATCGACCGGACTACACAGCGCAACAACCCAGAAGACAGAAATCTTCAAGAGATTTTTTGCTTTCACTGAAACTGATAATGAGATTCTCTAAAGCACACCACAGAACCCAACCCTGAACCAGTTTATCCCAGTCCACATTAATTTCTGTAAAATCCATTTTGATATTATTGTCTCATCTGCATCTCTAATTCTTGAAGATGTGAGGGACCCATAGAGGTAAGGACTAGAGACTTAGGATTCTCTCTAAGTTTACACAACGTTCTGGGAGTTAACTGCTGAATTCTTGAATAAAGGCCTGATGACAAAAAATTTATTGGGTTTATATTTCAAGGTCAGCAAAACTTGTCAAGGTAGAACAAGAACCCTTTGAAAACTGAATTTGTTTTACAACCAAATTCCATGTTATGAATTAAACACTGTAAAAAAAACTAACATTTAAACAGACTACAATTTTCTTACCTGATTCTTCAATGTTGAGGCGCTCCATCAACCACTCAATAAGGTCATAGCCTGAAATGACAAGACACACAAAAGTTAAGATGGTTGTTACTATTTCAGTTGAATAAGGACAACAGCAAACATGAGAGGAACAAGAAAAGTGGACAATTAGGATTCGAGGTTCTCGCAGCAGCGGGTATTAGAAATGTCTGTCTTCTGGGTTGTAGCCTGGTAGAAATTCATCAAGGTTGCTGAGGTCCTTGCTGCCTCCATCATCAGGGAGATAACTGCAAAGGGATTACAAATATAATTGAGTCAGATGAGCGACTGAGTGACGAAGTTTCGCCACTTACCTGAGAAGGCGGAAGGGATCGAAGTGAGAAACAGCTTCTGGCTCCGCACCGGGACCCCGGTTTCCGGATCCTGCATCTCCCGCACCAGCCCCTCCATCTGTACAAAACAAAACAAAATAAAACAAACGTCAGTAAGCCTTGAGTTTCACCCCATTCATTGTACTACAAACGATACGATATTCGCAGGACGTGTGTTATAACGCGGTAATATTTGAACCTCCGACTCTCTCATCTCCGAAACTTCGGGTTTAACCCAACTTTAAAGAGGCTAATCGCCCGAGATTTCAGTCCTTTCATTCGCCGTGAAGGCGACTTACATAATTTAAATAGCCACCGATATTTATAATTTACGTAGTTTTATTAAAATATAATTACATCTATTGTGATTCAATACACACAATACCCATTCATTATCGATAATAGAATGTCACTGATGTCGATTAGGATGAAGCAATCAAAAGGTAAGTAGCCATTTTAAGTAAAGGGCTATAATTTATTTCAGAGAACTATTTTGTGTAATATTTAAATAAGTTAAATTGAATACTTAAAGATATGAAGAACAAAAATTTCCAACTGCGAAAACCTTTATTAGCAGTAAACGAATATCAAGAATAACAAGTAAATAACAGCAAAGAATGAGTTTGGAAAATATGTTCACCCTAAATTCGGATAAACATTTACACTTAGAATTACGTAACACTGAAATACGCGAGTCCCTAACCGTGCTGTTACTTCATTACAAATAAAGACATATTTCTTGCATAGATATAATTTTGGATAGGAAACGAACAATTTGGTTCGTTGCTAATCCAACTGCAAAAATTATGGCTACAAAAATCTCATTCCAGCTGCCAGTTTGCCATTTCCACGCGGTAATCGTTCTTGCCTACTCAATTTCACGATCGGTCGACGTGATCGCCTATAGACTGGACCCTCCGAGATACCTACAGCAGACTGGCGGCGTCCTGCAATGATATCTTAAAAAAAAAACTACGTGTTTTTGTGGGAACTGGGGAGATCTGAAATTGTGTTGAGAGGTCAATATACTACAAAATACTATGTAGGCGCTCCTCTGACCGTTTAATGAACAAATTAATGTTTGTGTAGTGAAGCTGAAGCTATTCTAAATATTATGTAAGAATTCAGTCCGTACCTCATAGAAAACAACACTTCACCATTACAAATACCAAGTGGCTAATGTTGTTCAAGGAAGTAATCCTTGTTTACACTAAGAATCGCACAAGGTCCATACATATAAAATAGCATTTCTTGGCTGTTAAAGCTGGCGGTACATAAATTTCCACTGTGATTCAAAGGGTTAGAGCAGCTGACGAGCTTGGAGCACGCAGCTTCATGTTAGTGCCTTCATTAGTTAAACACGCGTATAATGAAATTAAGCAAGTGGTGGCTGGAATGTAATTAACACTTGCGACACTGATTACCTCACATCGTAGTTAATTTTCTAGAAAAACTCGGTGATTTTGTACAGAATCAGTATGTAGTCTACATTAGTTCCCCCTCCCCAAATTAATGTATTAAGTGCAAAATGTTGCGATATCGGACAAGTCATTTCTTTGTTTTCCGAACGAAATGAACGGAAAGCAACATACTGGTGATTTATTTCTTCTGGAAATTACAATCTAATCTCGATTTACAGAATTTTCATTGGAAAGATATTTCGTAATCCAGCAGCCAGTAAACGAGTGCACTTCATCTCGGTTTGTTTTGAAATCGAGGGCTGTAGTCTGGCCAAGAAATTTAACGTTTGACGATGATAAAAAGAATGTCATTCAGTGTAAGATGTGAGGTTTTCACAGCGGTGAGTATGAAGCTTTCTGTCTTCTGGGTTGTTGCGCGGTGTAGTCTGGTCGATGTTTACCAACGTTTCAGAGGCCATACTGCCTCCGTCATCAGAGCGATGAACCAGACTACTCAACGCAACAACCCAGAAGACAGAAATCGTCATACTCATCGCCCTGATGATGGCGGCAGTATGACCTCTGAAACGTTGGTAAACATCGCCCAGACTACACAGCGCAACAACCGAGAAGACAGAAATCTTCATACTCATCGCCCTGATGATGGCGGCAGTATGACCTCTGAAACGTTGGTAAACATCGCCCAGACTACACAGCGCAACAACCGAGAAGACAGAAATCTTCATACTCATCGCCCTGATGATGGCGGCAGTATGACCTCTGAAACGTTGGTAAACATCGCCCAGACTACACAGCGCAACAACCGAGAAGACAGAAATCTTCATACTCATCGCCCTGATGATGGCGGCAGTATGACCTCTGAAACGTTGGTAAACATCGCCCAGACTACACAGCGCAACAACCGAGAAGACAGAAATCTTCATACTCATCGCCCTGATGATGGCGGCAGTATGACCTCTGAAACGTTGGTAAACATCGCCCAGACTACACAGCGCAACAACCGAGAAGACAGAAATCTTCATACTCATCGCCCTGATGATGGCGGCAGTATGACCTCTGAAACGTTGGTAAACATCGCCCAGACTACACAGCGCAACAACCGAGAAGACAGAAATCTTCATACTCATCGCCCTGATGATGGCGGCAGTATGACCTCTGAAACGTTGGTAAACATCGCCCAGACTACACAGCGCAACAACCGAGAAGACAGAAATCTTCATACTCATCGCCCTGATGATGGCGGCAGTATGACCTCTGAAACGTTGGTAAACATCGCCCAGACTACACAGCGCAACAACCCAGAAGACAGAAAGCTTCAATGTCATCCAAGTTTCGTAAATATTAGGATTCTCCTCAGCCGAGCTAAGCAGAGTCAGCCAGCCGAGGGTTACAGCATTGTTTTCAGCTGATGGGTATTCAGAGAATGCCTGTTGAATATCGGAACTACCTAAGTTCGCAGCAATAGTTTCGCAATTCTATTCATTACTTAGCTGCAAAAGAGGCTCCGTCATCTACCGGAAACAATTTCTCCCAATTCTGATGATACTCAAATGACGACTTCTCGTCTTTCATGTTCCTTTTATTAACATCCGCACCACTCGGTCGTTTCACAGCTTACGAGATAATAGAAATGATAAAGCACTGTTTCAAATCTCTCCGTCTGTTTTTAAATAGATCAAAATTTCGAACGTTTTGTGTTTGTAGTAATCGATCATATATTTCGGTACACTACATTAAGTGGGGCCACACCAGTGTCTCTTCCACATAAGCTGTTCGCACGGAAGCCATTTTGGTATTACTAATAGTAAGATTTTAAAACAAACACAGACGGTATGGCCTTTCATGGCATCATTTTCATACCAAAATCTGTTCAATATTTCAAACGTTACTAAGAACAGGACGACATTATAAACTTATATTTCATTACAAGAGAAATAAATTGAGTTTAAAATAAAAAAATCCTAGTATGGCAACCTGAAGACGAGGGTACATATCAGCGGAAAGGTGCATTTTAGTCTATATAGGCCTATGGGCTAGCACTGAAAATGCACATGTACAACATAATTACGATGTAAAGACACTTTCAATAATTTTAAATTATCTTCAAATGTTTCATGTAATTATTCATATTAGGTCACCAGGAGTTTTTTTTTATTTCCTCACAAAGTGCGGTCAGACATTATGATTTTGTACACATATCATTAAGAGCATATTTTGGAAATTGTGACTGATGTGAACCACCGCTTAATATCCACGTACATATTGACACTTTGTAATTATTGTTTATATTATTTCACGACTCCCGCCACGCAATCAAGAATCCATCGCATCATTGACTGGTGTTCCCTCCAAGCAGTCTCCAGCTGTCACGGTAGATAATTCTTCTCTAAATACGGACAGGCAAATGTCAATTAAAGCTGAATAAATCTTATGTAAGCGACTGTCCATGTTTAATTATGTAGCAAATAGCTACGGTAGATATCAACACTACACAGCCACAGGATGTAAGCCTATGTGTACAATGCGTTAACTATCGATCGATCAAATCAAGTCAATGAACTTCAACGGGATAGACATAATTTCACTCTACGACTCCTGACTGGTAAATAATCAAACAAAGGACAATATTTCTGCTTCTGTACGATTCCTTGTTGCTCATTTTGAACCCAAAACGCATAGAATGAAAAGCTAATGTTTCCATATTTGTATCTTACCGTCTGCTTCTCCGTACATCTGTTATGTCCACAGGTAAAACCCACGAAGGTACTTAACAGACTGCTTTGTTATTCGGGCTTATAATGAATGTTGCCGGCCGATTCAATGTTTGTTCGTATCCGTCAAATAGCCTAGAATTCCTAAGGCAGAATAAGGCCAAATGGTGTAGTAGAAACAAATATTGTTAAACATTTTATTAGCATTCTGAACTTTATAACTTCAACGGGCTGGTCTTAATCAAAAGGTGTTTTGTTTCTATTTCTCTTATGATGTCAAAAATATCCTACCATTGCTTAACAATCTGCCTGTTCTGAATGCATTCAAATGTACGGACAACGATAGTGCGTAACCAACACTGAATTTCGCATACAGAACGACTTTTAAATAAAGTGGGAGTGATAACTATTCGGCCGCTACGTTCTGTAATAAGTTAATCCGGACGGGATTCAAACTAAGTACTCTCGAATAAAAGTTACAACTGCACAAAACTGAATGCCTGGAGTTTCAGTCCACGCCACCTGAACATATTTATGACGAGTATTCAGACACTTGAATAAAAAAACGTAGCCCTTGTTCCTGGCACTTTCTTTCTCACGATGTCACAATAAAAATAATCTGCAATGCATTAGTTGCTAGTCGAAGTAACTAATTGTCTTTGCACAATCCGTAATGGGAAAAAAAAGGATGATGTGTCGGACCGCGTTTCATCTCAGACTGTTTGAATTTCTATCAAATTTCGTATTCAGGCGCGAACATTAAAATTTTGGAGGTGAATTTAATTGTGGTTCATAAGGGTATGATATTGATCCCTACTTTGCATAAAGCTCAAATCGAAACGTGTCGCTTTTCTAAAAAAACTGCCCATCATGCAAATAAAAAATCGAGGCACAAAATGTAACTTTGATACCAATAACATCTACAACTTTTCTCCTGACTTACACAATGTGTCTGTAGTAGATTTTTGTCTTCATACTCACCGCTGTGAAAACCTAAAATCATATGTCTGTAGTAATCTGCATTACAACAGTTATCTCTCCAATAAAAACTTTGCAGGCAATAGACATCAAGATCATTAAGGTATGCAAAACTGGAAAGACGCATCTGAAGATAAACGTACACAAATTTGATTCTTGTTCCCGGCACTTGAAGTTGGCAACCCTGGTTAGGCAGGCGACGACTAGGATCGATAATGGCAGAGGGCCCGGAATCGACGCTGCATCCACTTGCACGTCTGAAGCACTACAGCTGCCTCGATTGTTGTCATACAATAATTTGATTTTATAAACGTCAAAGTTGGGGCCACTGAAAAGGATATGTTACCAACATAGGAAGGAAACATTGCAGATATTTCAGACACAAGCTTAGAACAACAAAAGGCCGTCAGATGATACGAGAATGCCAAACAAAGACGAGAGAAGCTGAACTGGGGCCACACAGCGCTTCCTTAAAAATGGTGTCACTGTAAAACATAGGGACGGTGTTTATTCCGAATTCAGGTTGAATGTGGAGCAACTATACCGCCCGGCTGCAAATTTGTTTCACTTTAGTGTCACCAGAATAGAATAGAATGTATTCACATTCCACACACCCTCCATAGGCCTAAGGCAAGGATATTGAATGTCATTGCACACATACAAAACTTGTTTCTAATACGAGTCAATTCTCCGCTCAGATAGAGTATATATGGCTGGAAATGTCGCTTATAAATATACTTTGTAAGTTGCTTTCACAGTTTCGTTTCTTGGTTCAACAAACAGGAGAAATGGGGATGATAGGTTTCTAAGACGCACCTCGGGAGCATAAGTGTCTACTTCCGCTTCCGGGTGTGAGTTATACTACATCCACAGTTTAAAACATGCTATTTAATCTTGTGGCAACAGCGCTGCAACGTATGGCGAGATAGGGGTCATGAGACTCAGACACAGTTAAGTCACTCTCCCGACGTCAAACGCACGGACCCGCGTACAACAAGGGATTCAGCTTTGCGACTCTGCAAGGAATGTGAGCGGGGCACAGTTCACCCACGTTTGCCCTACATCCCCCCCCCCCCCCCCCCCCCCCCCCCCCCAGCTTCTACAGTCGCAAAGCTGAGTCCCGAACAGCAACACACTTCTGTTTACAAACGCTCACAGCGTAGGCTACTGGACAGACGATTATTTGGGACTATGCGATGAGGAGGCTATTACGTTTAATTAACACAACTGTTGCAGTCTTGAAAAACGCCAATGAAGGAAGCAGTAACATGAAAATTAAACGATTCAGGAAATTTACGCATAGCCCAACATTTCTTACGCGTTTCTTCTGCTACAGCCATTAGATCTTCACTTCGTGAATGCTTTCTTGTTAAGAGCTGTGCAAGGCTTTTGTTCCGTCAAAACATGACCTTTGCCAATGGCGCCAGTTACGTTAAAGATGTATGGATCAATGAACTTTATGTAGGCGGGATGTCTGGTGTCTGGCTTGGGATTTCCCAGCGCATTTTCAAGGTCATTTCCCCACGTAAGTCTCCGAAGTTTCCATTACTGTACGATTTGAACAAGAATTGTAATGTGTTGACTAATTTTAGTAAAACTCTCGATATGAAATTTCATAAGCGGTTTTACAGATCTTTCATGCGGACGGACAGATATGGCGAAGGTAAAAGGCGCTTTTCGTCAGCTTCGTTGCAAAAGTGTGTAAGGATGCATTAGTATTACAACCCAATGTAATAAAATATATAAACAGTTAAATATTTCAGTTTGCATTATTGACTCCCTTATAAAGGAACGTCCCACGCCTTACAGACACTGTAGTTTTTCGTAGTTTTCCTCAGTTCCACCAGACAACTGCCCGGATAGTGTAATATAACATAAGATATTAAAAATCACCGTTAAATAAGCCACAAATAATATAAAATACAATTACAAAAAATCAAGGCCTATGAAGATCTGAGGTTCTCACGGCGGCGACTACGAAGATGGCTGTATTCTGGGTTGTTGAGCGATGTAGTCTGATACAAGTTAACCGACGTTTAAGAGGTGCTTGTTGCCTCCAACCTCAAGGCGAAGAGTATCCATCGCTCTCATGATGGAGGCAGCAGGCACCCCTGAAACGTCGGTGAACTTGTATCAGACTAACCGCTCAACAACCGAGATACAGCCATCTTTAAGGCTTATGAGGTGTGAAAAATCCCAAAGGATTTTAATCAACCCCTGTCTTGTGGAAAAATAATCATTCCAGGAACAACAGAAGAGAAGTGTCAATCTTACCTTGTCAAAGGCAAGAGGCCTATGCCCACGGTCCCGGTCAGGTTGATCCATGCTGTTCTTGGAGTGGGATTAGCACCCCATCACGCCAGTCACCCGCACATGCGCACTGAAAATAAAACTGCAGCCAATTAAAATCTTATACTATGACCATAAAATACGAATTTAGCTACAATCAAAAGCAGAAACTATAATTTCATTGCTCAGGAAGTGTGTTAAGACCGTTGACCATTTTATTTCGTAAGGAAGCCCTTTGAAGCCGAACTTCGTCCAACTAATGCCTAAAAATATTCAGTCCGTACCTCAAAGAAAACAGAACACATCTCCAATGCAAATACAACTTCTTAATACTAAGAAAATAATCGCTGTTTACAGTAAGAACCTTACGAACCCCACAAATAAAAAATGCAAACACATTAATTTTCAGAGTAGTTAGAACGTACCACTGGGCTTTAAAGGGTTAAACCACTTTACGCGTGGGTAAATGTGCAGCAAGGCTGAGAACACATTAAAAATAATATATTATTTCAAGAATTTGTGACTTATGTCTTGAGGCAGGGATGTATCATCTGGAGTCATTTCATTATACAGTTCACTAAGCCACTTTCCTTTCACGCAAGACGCACTTCTGTTGTCAATTTATGTTTCACAACGAATACCGAAACCTTAGTTACGAAGAGGAAGATGGCTATATGAAAACGAGACGCTGTATTTTCTTCTTCATACTGCATATTACCAACTATTATCAATTAATAATATATTAATTAAATCAAGTTCAAGAAGCGGTTTGTGTCACTGTTAAAACCACACACAAGCCAAGAACTGAAGAGCTGTCAAAGAATGTGCTGCTGCAGATATCCGTAGTCCAGTAGGGATACTGAGAGCAGGGAAGATTGCTGGCATTAGTTCATATCGGTAAGAAACTTCAGATGTACGTTTGGCACCAGGAAATACATATTTATCCATCTGTGCCATCAGATCTTAGCTCAAGTTCCTTTCACGCTAGAAAATCTAAGAAGTGATTTGGGATGGCTGGATATTCGAGAGCAAAGTTTATTTTAGCTGTTTCGTTAAATAGGGAAGATATACGAACAGCCTTGTTGAACAGGAAGAGGAAAGTGAGGAAAAGGCAGAGGAAATATTAACAGAAAGAGAGGTATATACTGAATAAACAGAGAAAGAATCTCAGGTAAAAAAACAAACAAAATAACAGAACCTCGGAAGTGTGAGAAGAATGAAGGATTTAAACAAATAACTTAAGAACGCCTGTGCTATGACTACCCGCCCAACTGAGGTGCCAGAGAAGTGGTCAGCCCGTTAGGCGACTACCATTGCGACAAACTTGTTGAACAAAACGAATGGATAAAGATGACTTGACTGTCTTCTGCGTTGTAGCGCCTGTAGTGTGGTAGACGTTTACCAACGTTCCAGAGGTACTTGCTGCCTCCATCATAATGCCATTCAGTGCGCCACCAACAACACATACGTAAACATACTTGTGATTGTGCCCGGGTCTTTGCTGCGAGAAACTGACTTCTGAGTTATGTCACAGTTGAATACACCGCACATATCTGACGTTACATAGGAACGTCATGTTGTGATCAAACTAGATAACATTATTATTGGTCGTTTTCACACAACATTAATTTGCTGTATGATGGGGACCAATAATATACAGGCTGAGTCAGAAGTATGTTTAAAAACTTCGTGTGCGTGTTCAAGGATCAAAAATAAGAGAAAAATATTCCTATGAAAATGGTACCTTACCTAACCTAACCTAACCTAACGTAAATTTACAAAATTGGCCTTTCAGTCATGTAGGACCTTTGGGCTATATAGGCCGTGTTAGTAAGTTAGGCGATTTGGACAATTTAGGCCTTCTGTGCCAATTAGGCCCTGTGGACCATTCAGGACCTTTTGGCCATTTAGCCAATTTCAGAAAGTTAGGCCCTCTGGATAATTTAGGACCCATGGGTCATTCAGGCCCCAATGGGCCATTTAGGCCCTTTTATTCATTTAGACCCTCTGGACATTTAGGCCCGTTCAACAATTTAGGAACAATGGGTAATTTAGGACCCAATGGGCCATTTAGGCCCTTTTGACCATTTACGCCCTTTCGATATTTTGGGCCCTTTGGACCATTTAGGCCCCTTGGACATTTTCGGCCCTTTGGCCCATATGGGCCCTCTGGAATATTTAGGCCCTTTTGACCATTTACGCCCTTTTGATATTTTGGGCCCTTTGGAAAATTTAGGCCCTTTGGACATTTTCGGCCCTCTGGCCCATATGGGCCCTCTGGAATATTTAGGCCCTTTTGATCATTTGCGCCCTTTGGACATTTTCGGCCCTCTGGCCCATATGGGCCCTCTGGAATATTTAGGCCCTTTTGACCATTTACGCCCTTTGGACATTTTGGGCCCTATGGACATTTTCGGCCCCCTGACCCATATGGACCCTCTGGAACATTTAGGCCCTTTGGACAATTTAAGCCCTCTGGAACATTCGGCCCAACGTAACCTAACCAAACTTAACAACCTAACCTAACGTAAATTTACAAAACTGGTCTTTGTGTCATTTAGGCCCTCTGGGCTATATAGTATTATCTAATCTGATCATAACATGACGCTCCCATATAATCTAATGCCTATAAGTCAAAATAAGAGTGTATGTCGGTTCATGAACTTGAAGCACAGCTTGTAATATTGATTATCGAGTGAAGACGACCAAAAATATTATCTAAGACACAAAGTTTAACACGCCGAAACATCGACTTTATCTACACAATATTTATCAATTCATTTACTACCTCAAACAACGCACCTACGATATTCTCTGTGAATAACATCCTGAATAAAATAACGATCAAGAACTTCTACTCTGTCATTAATCTGAAGTCAATCCTCTCATTTTCCTCTAACTAGATTTTTAACGCTTATTCGGCAAAGCCAAACGAATTCCTTTGGCTGGTTTGGTTTTGAATTGGTGGTTAATGCAGTCATCGCTTTAAGTAGACGTTACTGATAATGGCAAGTTAGTTTAAAGACGACTTCTGGAATATTGCTCCATGTAGTCTCGTACAAGTTTTCCGACGTTTCAGAGGAGCTTAATTCATCCATGCAATGGACTCACTCATGTCTACTCATTCACTTTGTAGGTGAAAAGTAAATACGTGGTGAAAATTTCATTAACGTCTACTGTACCTGCAGTGCATTCACGTTGTCCTTGAATGATTTTTGTTTTAAGATTTTTTATAACAATTAAGAGAAGTGTTTACCATGCACTGTTATGTACATTCGAATTTAAAATTTTTTCATGTAAATTAACCCATTCGTTCGTGAAAACCTTAGTCTGTAGAGAGCGTGTTTATCTGAACCCTAACGCCCGTCATTTGGCAAAGAAGACATTTTAAAAGCGAAATCGCCATTTTTTTGCAGCAGACTGTTGCATAATTAATGGCGAGTTACAGTTCCGTGTGACGACGCATTTTAATTACGCCTTTATCTTTGCCTGCCCGCTTCTTTTTAGCTAGAAAATATCGCTCCCTGTACTAGAACAAACAAATATAAAAGTCCAACAAATTATTCTATGTGAAGTCATGCATATTTACGAAACATTTGCAAAGATACTGTACAATTCATACAGCGGCGATTGTGTCAGAGATGTGTTACTGAAAATTACATAAAAAGTTCGGCCACATATCATTTTCCACACGTGTTCCTTGCCAGTTTTCATATGCACTGGCACTGAAGTTAATTTATTCAATAAAAATTCAATAAATAGCGTTTTTCTAATAAACTTTGCCATATAGGGATCTAAAACGTATCAAAAAATGTTTCTAGATTGTGATGAGTTATATATTTTATGTAACGTGCCAATATTTTGTTTAAAGAGCGGCTTTTGAGAAAAACTGGAGATCTGGTAAAAACAGATTTTAGTAGACAAACATGGACAAGCATAATTTTGTCCAGCAACTAAATGTGTTTAAAGATGGCTGTCTTCTGGGCTGTA